CCTACCTGCAGACACTGGGGGAGGGGACGGGCCTAGCCCTCAGCCGTCCGCCGGCCCTGTCCTAGTGGGTCCGGTCTGCGTTCCCCGCCGGCGCGTGTAGCTGCTGTCACTTGGCTCAAGCTGCTGTCACTTGGCTTCCTCCTTTTTCTTCTCCTCTCTCTCTCTATATATATCTCTCTCTTCCCTCTCTCTCTCTTTCTCCCTTTCCCTCTCCTCCCTTCCCATTCTCCCCCTCTTCCTCCCCTCCTTCTCCCTGTGTCTCTCTCTTTGATCAACAAAATAAATATATTTTCCAATTTTAAGCAGAATTCTATAATTCACTGAACTCCCACCACTATAAAGCACTGTGTTACGTAAACTGTTATCCAAAGATAGAAAAGATATAAATCATTGATTCCTCCCAAATGATTACATTAGAACTGAGTTTGTTGAGAAAGAACAAAAATTACCATAAGGAAAGTGGCACTAAAAACATAAAAGAAAATGAATCATTGAATACTTGGCATCTGGAAGAAAAGAATATGGCAGATCATAGGTTTTTAAATTATATAGTGGGTAAATTCTGTATTGAGTGAATGAGTATTATACAGCATGAATAACATTGTATAATGCTTGTATGAATGAATTTATAATGTATGAATGAAAGCATTATGGTTGCTTCATATTTTAAATTATCAAGAATGTTAAATGAGTCTGCTTTAATAGTCCCAAGATCTTAGTCCCGATATCAAGTGAGGCATTAATTTAAGTCACTTCCTCAGAATCAGATCCTGAGACAGAGAAAAATGAAAGAATAAATTATTAAGGAAGTGCTTCAAGAGAATTCAATATGGGAGTTGTGGGAAGCAGGACAGTGTGAGGGAAGAAGCCAAGCTTGTGTGCAACTGGTTTCAGGCTAAGTCATCAGCCTGATGGGTAGGAAGCTCCAGAACACATGTTATAATTCAGAGTTTGTTCCATTTTTAGAAATATTTTCATATTCCACACCAGACAGTTGTTGGTTAAAGGCAGTCCCCTCTGTAGAAATAACCTCCCAGGAACTTGCCCAGAGGCCCAATGACAGGGCTCTCAAGAAGTTCAAAAATAAATGCTGCTAGGAACAGAGCTCAGGGAAATTGGGGCTGGGCACAAAGAACCAGAAAAAGTGATCTGATAGAGAGCATTGTCCACAACTGCTACAGGTGTCAGGGAGAGGTGAAGCTAAGACACTCCTTAAAAAACAGATGATCCAATGGTTAAATTAGGGATAGTAAGATATTTAGAAAGGGATTTGTGAGAACTAGCCATTCTGTTGTGATGTCCCATGTTGACTCATCGACTGAGCAGTTACATCAAAGCTTGTTAAGCTTATAAAAGCTAAATAGATGGTTTCTCTGTAGGTTGACTATTTCTTTCTCCCTCCAAATAATCCTCATCCTTAAATAGTTAAGACATCATCTCTTCTAATGAACATATTTTCCCCATCTCCTATAGCCACAGTAATCTTGTAGAATTGCTTCTTATTTTTTAACTTCTAGAACATATACCTATTTTGAATGCTAAAAATTCTTTTAGTAATTTCAATCTTAAATCACTTCTAGGAGACACCACTTGCTTCCTGTTCTTCTTGGTTCAAGGTTGAAAGTAATTTTGTTTTTAAGGATGCTTTTCTTTTCTTTAAACAAAGCAGCAAATATTTCTACTGCAATCATTGAGTCAAAGATAACTAGCCCTGACTAGAAGGACCATGGGAAAGTGCTGGGTCCCCTGAAAATCTGAGGGACTCTCTTGTTAGGATCTTCCACCAGTATTGTTTGTTTGTATTGTCAATAAAACCAAATATTATTATCTTATTTCCACATTTAGTAATTATTGCATTTACATGAAGCAAATAGAATCAATTAATTCTTCTTCAAATATTGGTCACAGAAAATAATATCATTTGTATCAGTCATTTCTGGGAAAGATTCTATGGCATAGCAAAGAGCATTCACTTTTGTACCGAGATCAAAATTAATGTAGCCTTTCCAAAAATGGTAATGATTTGAAGATTACATTTTGTGTATTTTCAGACCAATATTTCTAAGGTCAACCATTGTTTCAGTATCATATTCCATTTAAATAAGTGACTCAATATATGGTTCCTTCTACAAGATCAGGAATTCGTTGTAATTTTGATGACAATTACCAAAACATAGTAGTGATATAATTATCAAACGGACAAAGATATAAAGCATGCACCTAATTTCTCCTTCCCAGTCTTCTTTCCCTTCATTCAGAAGGTGACATGAAGATGGTCTTGGTCCTGGGCTGGTTGTGCAGATTAATTTTTTACTAGAGAAGATTCAACTCCATTTCAATCTTTGTTTTTAAAGAAAACTAACATCTTAGAACAATGATATTATACTTTTACTTGATTTTTGCATACTAGTTTTGTGAAGTAGTCTATCCTTAGTAAAAACTAGACAAAGGAATAAAGATTTTAAGTATTAAACACAATGAAAGTCATCTGCACTGGAAGCATCACAAATAGTTTTTTTAAAAAGAGATAGTACTCTAACTTTGACCCTCATTATTAGAATTTGGTCCAAGTGGTCAACCTCTCCCTATGCCACCTATGGATAAGAGTTATTTATTTCTCTCCTGTGAGGAGATCCCATGAGAAGATCTGTCTCCCTTAATATTTGAGTTAATAACACAGTAGTAGTTATCTTCAATACCATCCTGACATTTCATCAAAGAAACCCATTTTATGATCCTATAATACAAATAGATACCCCAATTCTGCTCCTTTATTTTTCAGTTCTAAGAATTCCAAAAGCTATGGATCCTGTTTGTATTTCTCTACATGTATGTTTTATCATGTTATTAGATTTATCATGTTTTACAGTTTGTAGGGAGTAGCGCTTTGTTTTGAGGGGTGGATAAAGAAGCTTAGGTAGCTGTTTTAACTTACCCTTTCGCCTGTTCACATCTGTCCCATGGATTCTAAATTACAGGCTTCTTGGTTTTAGTGTCCTGAGAGATTGCATTAAGAGATGAAAAGCAAACGGTTGACTTTGTGGGTCTAGGGGGGCAGAGAATTGTATGCACTAGTGAGAACTGTTGGGCTGTGCAAAACAGATGCAGGAAGGCAAAGGAGAGAAGACCCCAGGGCCAGATTTAGAACAAATGCCTAAGATTATTTACTCAACTTATACAGAAAAAAAGCATAAAAAATTAAAAATTTAAGATAAATAATATACAACTTAAATGATCAAAGTATTTCAGAAGCCAACCAGCAGTGTAAAACATTGTCACTGCTAGATTGAAGACTGGCCATGGATTGTCCATAAGGAAGTAAATCATAAGGTCAGAGAAGTTTTTTATATTATGTTGGAAAGTCCTAAGGACAGGGTTGCTTGCTGAGAATGCACGGTGTGCATTTGTGAAAGCAAGAAGTCAATGAAAATTCTTGGAAACTATGAGACAGTTTCAATATACACAATAGATATTCAGACTTTCAGTCAGAAATTAATGCTTGAGTTTTCTTAAATTATCTGCTTATGTACACTTACTAATTCAATAATAGTTTTATAATTAACCTCTGTACTCAGTGATTAAAATCAATCTTGAGAGTTCATATATTAACATTATTTTATTTTTATTTCAGTATCCAGTAATCACCCTCAAGGTAAGGTAACTGCAAGTTTAAGAGTGTTAATTTTCCACCTCAGTTTTAGAGCATCTCCTCAAACCTCAGTATTAAAGGGCAATTGGCGGGGAACATTATCTATTTAAATAGGTAAGAAATTATTTAGTTTGTGTAACCATCCTCAAGAGAATAGAAATAAGTTTTTTTCCTTCTCTTTGATTTAAATTCACATCTATTTTTAATATGACAGGAAGCCATTATAATTCATTTAACACTTATTGAATGTGTCTAAAAGTGCACTGGGGTCAAATTATAGTTCACCTATAAGAACTGAAATTTTGATGCAGAAAACAGCTGTAACAAAATAATAATTCTAGAGATATGATAATTGAATCCCCAGTACTGCAAAAATAAACAAATAAATACAGACACAAAAATATACTAAATGCTCTGATATATAGAGATATGAATCCATGCAAAACAATAATCACTTCTCCATGGTGAATCATTTAAAACTTGTGTTTTAAATAGGCAGATTAGAATTTTAAGAACTAGGAAGTTAATTGATGAAACATTATGATGAATGAAAAATCCAAAAYGCAACACAATATACGTTATTCCTCCTCAGGACCCAGAGGGTAATCACATACAACGGTGGGTTAATGAAAAGGCTGTGAAAGGCGTGCTACCACTCTCCTTCCAGTTAATCCCGGAGTCCATCCTCGGATGGTATGAGATCACCGTGGAGATGGGCTCTGGAAACAAAGAATACCACTCTTTCTCTGTGGAAGAATATGGTAAACATGCAGCTACAAAAATATGATATATTAATCAGAAAAAAATGTCAAACTATCCATTTTTCCAAAGGCCTATTCTTAGTAATTGTGCATCTCTGAAGCTTTCCTCCTAATGGTCACACGTTTTTCTGTTGACCTAGGATGTCTATTCTATTTTTCTTTCATGATGTCTAGAACTGAATTTATGTGAGGGTTTCTGGTATGTTCACTTTCTTTTTTGGCCATATTTATGCTTTGAAGCATTTTTTTATAAAAGGAAAGGAATTCACATTAGCCATGTAAGGAGGAGTGCTGCTTGTAGGATTTCAGTAAATCGTCATAAAATTTCATAATGATATCATTATTCTCATTTTACAGATGAAGAAATTGAGGCACACTTACCCAAAATCAATATTTCAGAAATTATGTATTTGGAATTCACACCCGCATTTTCCTATTCAATTTCAAAGTCCAGCCCCATATACTTCTGCATCTTCCTAACACTCTTAATTATCAACAAATATCGGCAAAGAACCATGGATTATAAAAGGGGAAAATTGCTTTATATGAATGCCTTATATTCATAAGGTTGCCTTTTTTTTCTTTTTATGAACAGTGTTACCCAAATTTCAAATGAATGTGGATGCACCAGGAAACATCTTAATTGTGGACTCTGAATTCAAAGTTAATGTCTGTGCCTCGTAAGTACAAATTGTACACAATAAAATGATGTATTAATGGAAATACAATAGAGTATAGAAGGTAGCTAAAAAGAAGCACAATAAAAAATGATGGAAGACAAAGGAAAAGGACAATATAAAATTACCTTGCTGATTTTACTTCAAATAATGTAAAATGTAATTACATTAATAATTATTGGAATATGACACATGTTAGGTAACAGTTTGACTACTGATTACTGTCTTACAACATAACACGTTGTTTTATACCATCCAATTCAGTATCTACTGAGTGGCCCTTTGTGGGTAATTATATTCCAACAAATTAAATAAAATTAAACATTCCAATCCCTCAGTTGCACTAGCCACATTACATGTAACCAGTGGATGCTGATTTGAATAGTGTGAATGTACAATGTCATAAGAACTAGGAAGTTACTTGATGAAATATTATGATGAATAAAAAATCCAAAATGTAACACATTAATGTGCTCCCACATTAATGTATATTAAAGCATACTTTGCACATCCTAATATTGCACCAAACACAATGTAGTAATAAATGACTTTTAGATAATACTGGCATGATTTAAGAGGGAGGGGAAAGCTTCACATAATGGTTGCACCCCACTATTTTTTAAAAAAATACCATAAAATCTGCAGTGATTATGTGGTGATATATGGCATTCCCATTTCAAGAGAGCTCTGCTGGTATTATCTTGTGTTTACTCTGACTTCTTGATGAAAGCTCTTCTTATATTACATGATTAGAAAAGAAAAGCATAGGTCAAAATGTATCATAAAGAAAACTGCCATAAGATCTCAAATTGCTCCTGGGCAATCCTGGTACACTGTGTGGAGGATATCAAGGGCAGACAAGGACTTGGAGGGCACATAACAAGATGCTCAGTTGGTATATGGCAGTGGTAATAGCCAGAGAGTTAAGTAATTTTCTCCCTCCCTTTGTCACTAAATAAACAGTTGGCAGAATTTTCATAAACTGGCAAAGACAGCAAGAATGCAAACATCAATTTATTTTATAACTTGTAATTTCTAATTATAAGCAGAGTTTCTGCTTGTGTTCACCCTACACTGGAAATTTAGGATGGTAAAGAAGGGATGTGGCTATCTTGAGTATAACCTACAGAGTAGGAGGAGAAATAAATGTCAGGAAAGTTTCATTGTACTTGGATTATAGAGGCAGACAAGTACTGGGCAAGTACCTATGAGAAATGGAAATCCTAAGAGCCCAGATGTCTATTATGTTCCTGCGATTCTTGTCTGTGACATTTTTTGCTGGAGAAACATTGCAATTAAGTGTGATAAGGCTCCCTGGGAAAAGCCAACTGGAAAGCATAAAACATAAGTATAAATGAGTAAGTAGTTGAAGATTCTAACATTTTTAAATCATAGCACTAAGCTAAAAAATTGAGCAATTTATACCTGGAAAAATAATTGAAGATCATCCATAATAAAAGCTTAGAAATAAATATGACTGAGTCAATAGTGTACCTTTAAAATTAATCAAAGGCCTTAAAATTCAGCATATTGATTGATACAGTAAGAATATATAATATATATGTATATATACTAACTGAAAGAATGGATGGTGCTGAAGGGAGAATTAGTGACTTGGAAAATGAAATTGAGGAATTATAAAATGTAGTTCAGAGGATCTACCATTATTTCTTATAGACAATTTTGTTCTTTTCAACCTATTGTTTGAATTTTTAATAATGAGAATTTATTTGTGTACTTAGATATAAATAAAAATAAATATAATTTGTTTTAAAAGTAAAGTCCATAAGAATAATAAATGCTCATATACAATATTTTGGAAACACAAAAATGCTAAAAGAAGTAAAGTACTATCCTAAGAAATGAAACAATCAATGTTCATTGTATACTTTTCCCTTATTATTATTTTTCTTCATTTATACTGTATTTTAGTGACTTACATAAATGAATTCTACATGTTGTCTATTTTGATCATTTTAATTAAAATATATGTTGGCCCAAAGTGATCAGTTCAGTTTTAGTCAATACCATTGTTTAGATTTACTCCAGAAAATAAAATGTAAGATAATTTGTTGTGGCAGTGATGGTTTTAGGCACTAAAAATATTTCAAATAATCCTATGCAAACTAATTATACCATTGATTTTTATGGTTGTATTCTTGTTATATCATTTTATTAGATACACCTATGGCAAACCTGTGGAGGGGAAAGTTCACCTTAGTGTATGCAGGGCATCTACTTTTTATGGTACTTGTCGTCCTCTCAATTCACTCTGTAAAAACTTTACTCTTCAGGTAAGAGGCACATCTGCAAAATCATAAATAACTGCATTAACCTTGTGACCTCAGCTTCCATTTACCTTCCTTTCTTCTTCTTTCTCTCTTTAGAATTAAAAATTATACTTCTCTTCTATATACCTATTTTCATTTTTAAAATTTCTATTGTTTTTTTCTTGCTAATTTATCATGTTCTATTAAATGACAAAACACAGATTGTATTACTGGAAAGCTCTAGAGTAAATTTCGATTAATTAAAAATGAATTTGGTTCCATATCAAAATCTGTACTCTAACAATGTACTACATGGGATATATCTTTCACTTTCTACTTTCTAGATATAGTTAGGGAGATATGTATTTTCAAGATTATTAGATGGGTGTTTTTTTTTCTCAATCTTTCCTCATTGGAATTGGGTGTTTACAGTATTTCCAGATGGTACATATAACAGGCGGAGTTCTTATCTACTAACAAGAGGAATTGACTTTTCCAAACTTTTTCCAAACTTTTCCTGAAAAGATTCAAGTAAAACTTGAGAACCAGCATCAGAAAATTGACCCAACAAAGCCAGGATATGGCAAGGACTTCAATTATAATTATGCCAGAGTTTGACTTGTTAATACACAACTGCTACTTACATCTCTGTATCACAAATAGCAGCACACCCACACACATGTACTATACATACACACACACATTATATATTTCTATTATTTATAGAGAAGAATTTTTGATTAAAAATATTTGTGAATCCTCTGGTTCTTAAGTTTAAAAGTTGAATTTGGACAATAAACAATAAAACAGTAATAATTATAATAGCTAACATATTATGGTTGTGTCAAATGCTAGGATTAAGTAGTTCATATACATTTAACTATTAAAACAACTGTATATGTATAGTATTGTTATTATCACTCATCTGCAGATGAATGGATTTAAGTAGGGAGAAGCTTAAGTATATTGCATGATGTCAAATGTATATATTAATAGCATTGCTCTATCCTTAGGCATTTCAGAGGCTACAGAATTTTCTCCATTTATTTATTCAATATTGAGTTCCTTTAATATATAAACATTATTGTGTTTAGAAGCTCCAGTGTTAAACCACATAGACCTGGTCCTGTCCTCATGGGGCTTGCTTTTTATGAAGTGGTCATTATCTTTATTAGATGCACACTCAGGAAAAAGAATGAACCAATATAGGCCAAGAACATGGGGGTGGATAGATCCCAAAATGAATTACAAAGAAGCTTATGTTATGTAGATGCCCTTCAGAAGATTTGAGAGATCTTTAAATTTAAAATACAGCAGGAGTGTAGCCTAAATGATTTACCTGACTGCTAACCTTTAACTCTAATGAAATTTACCTGGACCTTTAAGATTGTGGAACTGTCTTGAGGACTTCATACATAGAGTTTCAGGGGCCCTGAGAAGCAGCATGTGATTCTGGTTTGGTATTATTTCTCTTGTTTTGGTGATGCTATGGGTCCAACACAGGGCCTCACATATGCTGAGCATAAAATGGCATAGGATTTTAACCTGCCACTCAAGGACCCAGCTTCCTGATCTCAAGATGAAGGAGTACAACAACAGCTCAGTTGTCCTGTAATAATCTACTAATCTATGAACGCATTTCATCACCACCCTAAATACCTTTGAAATATTTTCAATTCCTTCTGTTTAACCATTTCCTAATTATGACATTTAAAAAAGTCCCCAATGAGGCATTCTAAGTTGACCAAATAGACACTGAGACAAATTTAAAGACTCTAATAAGAATGATACCTACCATTTACTAAATGTTCACTAAGTACCAGGCACTATGCTAACCACTTTACAGCAATATGGCTGTAACATCTTGTTTTATACCAAGTAGTAAGTGATAGAACCAACATTAAAATCACAGTGTTTGACTCAAAAGCCTATGTCCTTAACTGTCATATAATTTTAATTCAATAAATATTCAAGGCATAGTAACTACAAAACATAAAACACAGTTTCAAAACTGAAAAGGAATATGGTTGAAATTAACAAAATTGCAATATCACATCTGAGTAAATGTGATCAGATTTAGATGTGTTAGCTTATAGATTAACAAAGTAATACTGCCAGGAGTGTTCTGTTTAACTCATATTCTCTTTAACTCAGAATTGTGAGAGTTGATATTTGTTAAAAATTCAGATGAAGTCAGAGTTAAATACATGAATTGAAATTTTAAAGCATATAAACACAATGAATTATTTTATAAAGTTCAAATTTGAGTAAAACATTTCTCTTAACGTTGCTTCCTGTAGGTTACATATTTTTTTCCAAAACTGGTATTTCTTATAGTCTTTAAAATTTGACTTATCTTTTATTATTACATTCATTAATGTTTCAGTTGGGGAAAGATGGCTGTGTCTCCCAGCTTATTAACACAGATGCTTTTGAGTTAAACCGGGAAGGATACCGGAGTTACTTTGAAGTACACGTTCTTGTCACAGAAAGTGGAACAGGTAATGTTCCTTAAACAGTAAGACCCCAGTGGATAACATTTTCCTATTTGAACTATTATCTACTAAGGTTAATTTCACAATGTTAATATGTTAATATAGTCATTTTTTGCATAGGATATGTTACCAATTTTTTAGATCCAAACTCTGTTTCTTATCTTAACCATAAGGTTTTAGACACCTATTGATGGATGGATAAATATTACTTTCAAATGAGACTAAAGTAGAATTCAAAATGCTAGTGTATTAGCATATAAAGGGAAGATCTGTTTTGAATATTGGTATATTCCCTTTCCTTAATCATTGCAATATGTAACTGAGAAATAGAGTGGTTGATTGTAAAATTTTGGGGGGAGCATAGAATCAAAACAAGGGAAGTAGAATATAGTTTTTTGAGAATATCACCAAACCTCTGAAAAGAAATTCAATGAAATATCTTTAACCCGCAACCAGGAATATATTTCTAATGACTTATTTTTTCTCTCTCTGATGCAGTATATTTCTCCCTCTTTATTAAATAGAAAGTGATAAATTCTTTTTCTTGAAATGGTCCTGTTCTGACCATTTCCTTTCTGTTAAAATAGACTTTCTTTAACTCACCTATGTGATATATCAGTAAAAATTTCTGTCCATGATATCTTAAATACTAATATGCTTCAATCCATATTCAAAGTTTTAGAGATATCTATCACATCCATGTCACAGGAAATCCATGTCCTGTGACACATCTGTCACAGGAAATTCAAGTAATAAATAAAAATTTAATGGATAATTAAATATATTTGTCACATTAAACAAAATAAATAATGAAAGGATAGCTAACTAAATGATAACATACATTTATGGCTACAATATTATGCACCATTAAAAAAACTAGGTTTTTAGAAAGGTATCAAAACCTCAAAATAATGTTTAAAATCATAATGTCAAACTACATATTTTTTACAATGCAGATAAATATATATATTTACACACAATTATAATCCCAACTACATTATTATAAATGATAATTTAAAGGCTAAAAAACTTGCAGAAAATAGTCTACTTGTTAAATTTTGTTTCCTTTGGCATGTTTTAAAATTTGCATTATCGTCTTAAAAGTTTAAAATTTTTAATAATATACATATATTACCTCTCTTACTATAAATAGATTAAAATGTATGTTTTAAGCAGGGATATTTTGAAATAAAAGTTTCAAACCATTACTGATGAATAATAAGAAAACAACTGGGCATAGTGGCACAAGCCTATAATCCTAAAGGCTTGGGAGGCTAAGGCGAGAGGATCCAGAATTCAAAGTCATCCTCAGCAAAAGTGAGGTGCTAAGCAATTCAGTGAAACCCTGTCCATAAATAAAATACAAAATAGGGCTGGGGATGTGGCTCAGTGGTCGAGTGCCCCTGAGTTCAATCCCCAGTACCCCCCCAAAAAGAATAATCAGAAATCAGTGACTTTAATCCATCATGAAAGACTAGTAAATGAATTGAACAGTGTATAAGGAGCAAGAGCACTGGTCAAGAATGATAAGCTTTTTTGATTTTTCCCATCTTTATTAATTTACTTTTAAAAACTTCTGAAAAAATAACATGTATTAAAACTGCATAGAAAAAGTGAACTATTATAAAGAATAGTGACATTTTGAGATTTTTTTTTATAGTTCTGTTTGGCTATATTTTGAGGATATTTTCCTAATAATACTTAATTTACTGCAGGTATACAGCTTACAAAATCCGTGTATATAAACATAGACTCATCAATGGTGAATATTAGATTTGAAAATATGGAGACAATCTACAAACAGGGACTCCCTTATTTGGGCCAGGTAAGAGAAGTGATAACTTCTTTACTTTCTCATTCATTTATTCCCTCATCTATCTTTCACTTATTTGTTCATTCATTCATTCATCTATCCAACAGCTCTTTTCTGAGAAATTACAATATTAGAAACTCTGTGTTAAGCTTTGTAGGATGATTTATTCTGTTAGTTTTCACAGACCCATCTTGGTTTATGCCTTTTATGAAGTGGTAACTGTTAACACTGTCCTGTTTCATACACAAGTGTCCATGATTGAAAAATAAATTGTTTATTCTGCATCAGAATTAGGATTAAAAAAAAGAAAAGCACTACTATTTGCCCTTGAGGGTTTTATAGCTCACAGAAAATAGACATTAAACAAATAATTTTATAAACAATGAATGAACTATAGTCATGGGTGCTCTGTCAGTGAAATACTGACCATTTAGTAACTGTTCTACATTAGGGAATTAGCAAACCATACTCCTTGGGAAAAGCCAACAGAGTCCCACTTTCCTATAGCCAGTGATTTTGAGTGGTTTATCATTTTTTAAAGATTATAAAAACAACCAAAGGACGTGAGAAAGAAACAATATTTGGCCCCATAAAGTTTATCATATTTATTATATGATCCTTTATAGAAAATTTGCTAAACTCTGGACTAAATAGTCATAGAAAGTTTCTCTAAGGAAGTGATATTTAAGTTGATACAAGAACACTAATAAAGTATTGCAAAAGTGAATTACTGGACTAGATCTTACGGAGAAGTTTTCTCAAACTTGATCCTGTGTTAGAATCACCCAGAGGGCTTGGGAAACAAATGTCAGTAACAGCCATTTTATGAATAAATTTAAAGTTTGGCTTTGGCAACTAGATAATTTAATATAAGATAATTTCATTTACTAAGCAGCCATTGAGTACATGCTAACAATTTTCTCTCCTTTATCTCAATGCATTTTTGTTTGAAATGTTTCCATGTTCTGTTACTTAATATGTAAATTTGAGGATTATTATACCTTCAAGGAATAAAATTACTTTCCAAATATGAAATAATTTTCTCTGGACTGGCGAGTTTCCCTCAAACATTGTCATCAAACTCAAATGATTTCAAATGATTTCCTGGGTTCCTCTTTGTCTCTTACATCTTTTCAGTTCCATTTAAAAGCATATTCTATTAAAAGATCATTTTGTGAGAAAATGATATATTTTTAGCATCTTTTGTATACTTAAGTTTCTGGAGTATCGTTTAATAGTTTGTTTTATTTAATTGGCTTAAATCTCCAAATTGAAGATCAAATATAATAGCGGACTTTTTGTCACTTTATGCATTTTGAGGAATACTTTTTTAAAAATCTAATCTTCCGGGCTGGGGATGTGGCTCAAGCGTGCAGCCCGGGTTCGATCCTCAGCACCACATACAAACAAATATGTTGTGTCCGACGAAAACTAAAAAATAAATATTAAAAAAAATTCTCTCTCTCTCTCTCTCTCTCTCTCTCTCTCTCTCTCTCTCTCACACACACACACACACACACACACACACACATACACTTAAAAAAATCTAATCTTCCAGGCTTCTAAACAAAAGAATTTTGTAAAACAAATTCTCAAGTCAAAGAATCTCCTTGTTTAAGTTTAATGAGAACTCTCAGTACAGTTTTGATTTTAGATGTTCTCTTTCTCTTAAGTAATTTTGTTATTGTGTGTGTGTGTGTGTGTATGTATGTATGTATTTCCCATTAAATTTAGGCTTTGAAATTATTTACATTAACATTTCTAACATTCACTTATGATTTGAAGAAATAAGTCTACCACAATTTATTTTTCATTTTCTATTCCTAGTCTTGTGGGTTTTTTCCTCCATTGGTTGTTGGCTTCCTTAATTATCTTTATTTTTACTTTATTTTAAATAAATTTTACTATCATTCAATTTTATTATAACCTTTCTTCTTTGGATTTTATTCCTAACTTCTTGCTATGATTACTTAGGTTAAACTTTCATGTTTTCAAATGTTTACATTTTTAAGTACTACTTTACTTTTCATAGGTGTTTTTCTGTGCTATTTTTATTTTTGAAATTGTGGTAAAATACATGTTACATAAAAATTATTATCTAATTCACTTTAAGTTTAGTTAAAATTATTTTTCATGATTTTATAGCATTTATTTTCACTTTCTCTTTCACCTAAGAATGACTTAGGGTTTTAATTTTTTTTTTGCCTAATATGTGTGTTTGTGATTATACATTAAAAAATAAGTAAATTTTTCTGGGTGTGTGATGCACATCTGTAATTTCAGATACTAAAGAGGAGGGTCACAAATTCAATACCAGCATGGGCAACTTAGACCCTATCTTAAAATAAAAAATAATAAGGTCTGGGAATTTAGCTCAGTGATAGAGCACTTGCCTGGCATGCATGAGGCCCTGGGTTCCATCCCCGGTACCTTAAAAATAAAAGGGAAAAAAAAAACATAAAAGAAAGAAAAGTAATTTTTCTTTTAGCACAGGCAACATATATATTAAAAAGAAAAAAATAATATTATTGATAAAACTATAAAGAACATTTAGCACTTCCCCTTTAAGAGCTTTATGTCCTGAGCAGCTCTCTAGGAACAACTATTTTAACTCTTTCAGAGATTCCCACAAATATAAATCTTCATTAATATTAATAATATTAACTGTCACTTTGCAAAACAAAGGATGAAGAGCAAACCTTTTACACCTGCCCCATTACTTCTACACTCTGTGCCCCAATGAATTACATATTTCTAATTAGACATTCAATTGTTATATTCTTTTAGTATGTGCATCTGTTTTTCACATGATAACCAATTTATGATTCTAGGATTAAATCTCATTTGTGCAATATTAGGTTCTCCTTTGCTATTATTATGTGCATGTCACTACTAATGTTCAAAAAGTTCTAAAATTACTCCCAAAGTTTTAATTAGATGGTCAAAATGCAGGTTACATCTATCATTCTTGATCCATCTGAATTGCTCTCTGTTTCTCAAAAGATAATTCTCAAAGATAATTTCCCTGATATCTTGATACTTCCCTTTGCTTTTTCCAGCTTCAAATGTCCTGTTTTTTAAATTCCATTTCCTTGGTTTCCACATTAGTTCAATGGATCAAGCCCTCTAGTAGCTTCTTGAGCAAGGACAGATGGTATTTGGAGAAGGTTAAATATTCTGCATAATTTTTAATTATTGGTTGGCCATTTTTAGAGTTTGAATTAAATATTTCTGCAATAATTGTGAATTTCTTAACATTTTTTGTCATTTCTGCCAATGTTTGATACATATACACACACAGAAAATGTTGAAATTTTTTTGTATTATGTATGTAGCCTTTTATCCCTATTGGTACATTTCACTTCTCCCATTCTGCTTTAATATTTTAAAAATCAGTTTTTGAGTATCACTTTTAATTCCTCTGTGTTTAACCTTCTGTATATTTTTATGTATGTTGATGATGAAGAGTATCTAGATGAATTTTCAAATACAATATAAAAATTTTCCTTATTAATAGGTTTAACCCATTTCTTCATTAATGCTGGTAGAGGTATATTTACTTCTACCAAGTTATTTTTGTTTTCTATTCCCATAGAGTTTTTTTTTCAACCACCTCTCTTTTTTTAACCTTGTCGTCTACTCAGTTCTTAAAATTTCTCCTTGTAAGTTTTTCTATTTCTTAAGTATTTAATACATTTAAATTTCTATTTCTATTTTTATCCTAAAATTTAAGTGTTTTTGAAATCTTAATTTTTTAGTTTCCAATTTTACTGCCTATTATTCTACATGAGACTATTTTAATTCATAACCACATCTGCTTAATGCATAAACTTGTTTTTTGACAATATTTCTAGATAGTTACATACATTTATTCTAAAATTCTTCTAAATTATTCTTATCTGGATTTCCTAAACTGCTGATAATAAAAATTTATGGGCATAAGAGGTTATGAATTGTCTTTCATAAGATATATGTCAAGGACCTGTCACATTTTCTATTTTAGGCTCCCATGCTAATGGTTCAATTAATTAGAATCCTCAGATCATGAAATGATAACATAGAACATATCACTTATTTTATTTATATGTTTATTATTTCTCCTTTATCTTTAGTTCCTACCCACTCCAATCTTAGTTATTTACTCTAATATACTTACTTATATTCTTAAAATTCTATGCGTAGACCTTTCTCTAAAATATATCCTCTGCAGTGGAATTGCTGGGTCATCATCAGATACATGTAAAGTTTGACTAGCTATTGCCAAATTGCTCACAATAATAGTTACAAAGTCCCCAGGAGAGACTCAGAGGTCTCACATTCCAGCAGCTCCAATAGCACTGCATCATCACATCTCAACATTTAGTATCACCCAATTAATCAATTATCTTGATAATCCATTGGGCTTTAAAGTGATTTGTCATTATTGCTTAAGTTTGCATTTATCATTTTACTCATTTGCTTCACCATCCCCTCATGTACCTATCATTGATTTGAACCTTCTCTTTTGAGAACTGCCTGTTTCTATTGGTTTATCATATTTAAGGACACCTTGCTTATTCTAGATGTTAGACTATTTTGCATTTGGGTATTAAAATGTATTCTGCTTTTTATGAATCTGATGACATTTTGTTAAAAAACGACAGGCAACTTTTGTTAAAAATATTTCAAGTATTTAAAATATTATAGAAAATAGTATATAAACCACCATGTACTATCACTCAAGTAAAACATTTATAAACTTATGCCAAACTTATTTCCTATATTCATCTACCAAGCTTCCCTTTTAGATTATTATAGATGTATCAGTCCTTCTTTAAACACTTTATTATTTTTTTCTAAAATAGATGTTTTTTTTAAACCTATTACCTCAACTTCATTATTTCATCCAAAAACAGAATAGTACTTCCTGAAAAATCAAGTTTTAAACTCTCTAACTAGAATTTTTAAGTATATTTTAAAGTTATTGTAACAGAGCAATAATGTATCTAAGCATAACAGGATAGAAATAAGATCCATAGATTCTATTGTTAATGTGTCTCTTAATTCTATTTAAAATTTAAAGGACCCTCTTTCTTGAAATATGTTTATTAAGAAACTGTGTAATTTTTCCTGCAGATTTTTCCAGAGGTTGGATTTTTCTGATTGCATCTGCAAGTTATCATTTAACACTTTTCTCTGTCTCTTACATTTCCTGTACTCTGGTAGTTAGCTTTAGGTGCTTTACCATATTGGAGTTCATTTTTGTGGAGGAAGTCAAGATAACTTCATAGATATCATTATATATTTTTCTTAGAACAGACTTTCTTATTGTGATGTTGGCAACCATTGCCAATAATTGCTTAGATACATTATTTCTCTAGCCATTGTCTCTTAGTCTTGGCACTATTTAAATTTTTGGTCAAATAATACTTTGCTGTGGAGAGCATCCTGTGTATGGCAGATGTCTAGCAAGATCTCTGACTTCTTGTTAAAGGTCAGTAGCACGGGTCCCCACCCCATTTGCTGCAACTCAAAATGTCTCCAAACATTSCAAAATAGCTACTAGAGGGCAAAATATGTTAGCTAACAAATGAAGCATGATAGAGTTTTGTAAACTCTAGAATAATAATTCTCAACAAAGGGGAATTTGAGATACTTTTGAGCATGTTATCTAAATGATATTATTTTATCTAAAAATTAATAATCATTCCCTAAAATTTACTTGTCAACCATGTTCTAAACTTAGCTCAGAGATTTTATTTATTTTTCTCCCACACAGGATCTGGGTCTGAAGGGCGTGTATGTGTATGTTTGTGTGTGTGTTTAGAAGCTAAGCCTCAGCCTAGCTACTAAAGCCCAGGTCTTTACCATTCCTTCTCAAATGTTCTTAATTCATGAAGGTATAACATCATCTCCCGCTATGATCAGGAACCCCAGGATATCTCTTCCTATAAGGAAGAATTAGGAAAACTAACTGAGGTGAATCCTAACTTATCACAGGAGAGGGTGATAGGTGACAGCTACGTGGCTCAGAAGTCCTTGGCCAAATCCTTGGCAAAGTAGTTTGTTCTACCATAATATGATGCAGCTGTTCAGTGTGGATATATTTTCTTCATTAGCATTTGAAAGAGTTAGTTCTTGGAAACTAACCTAACAGCTCTCATCTCCTTGACTATTGTAGGGGAACAGATGGCAGTCATAAACAGATGTGACTAAGTCTTAATAAATAAAATTGTTTTCATTAAAAAATATGGTTGTGTGAAGTGGTCTCTTCCTGATTTTTAGATATTTCTTAATGGCAAAAGCTCTGATCACTCCCTGGGATGGGCTAGTAAAAATCAATCATTCCTTTTCTACTTTTTAGAAATTAAATGATTACTCTGTGATGCATACTGCAGTAGCTGCATTATTATGAATTACAAATAGCACATCTGGCTCTGCTTTGAGTATTAGAGAACTCCAAACTTGGCTCAGCAATGTTAGGTGTTCCTTTGGATGGCAAGTTTATTACTAGTACTATTTTATCTTTGTGCTATCTGCTGTAAATTTCAAAACTTCAGAGATAAGGTTTCCAGAGGTATCTATATTTGAACATGAAAATGGAGCAATGGTGTGGGTTAACAGAATAATTTCTTCATAAGTGACAGTAGTGGTGTTATTGGATGGCTAAAATGATAGCGCTTAAATATGTAAGACACATGACACATAGAGTGTCATGTGACACAAAGAGAGTGTTGCATGCCTCCCTGCAGTCTACAGTGAGCTTAATACCACTATTCAAGCCTATTTCAAAGTAGTGACAAAAAACGTCCCTAGGAAGCTTGTGGATTATTCCTTCTGTGACTAGAAAGGGCTCAAGGATCTTTCTTAAGTGTAATAACATTAGAATAAATAAATGTCTGTGGGGATCATGGAAGCAGGGTATCATGTGTCAACGGCCTATGGATCATAAGTTGAAAATTTTTATGAGGTCAAGCTATAAATTGATACTGAATTTAAAGGCCATGTAAGTGGTGCAAGTGAGGCATGARTCTACAAAAGCCAAACAGGGACTGAAATTAGACTTGAACCAATAGGAAAATAACAGGAGCCAGAAATATCAGGGCAGGTGTTTTTCAGAAACCACATGAGCTGTAAAAAGGATTTCTGGTAAAAAAAAAAAAAAAAAAAGGTTTTCCCCCTGACATCTGTGGCCTTAGATGTTGTTAAGAAATGTGCACTTCAAGGTTCATGACTGGCATAGATATTCATGTAGGCGTTATATCTACTACAAACATGCCAGTTTCGTAAGCAACTTTGAAAAGCTAATATTGCCTGTACCAGTAAGACAATGAGAATGAGATTTCTAACTAATAAATGCGATTTAACAGCATTCCCTGAAATGTTTTAGGGAGAAAAATTCTGAGTTCTGAATTTTAGAGAATTTGACTTTATGCCACTATAAAGAAAGGATAGAAGCATTACAGAATATAGATTGGGTAGGAGACATCAACGTATATGAGGAAAAAAAATAAGAAATTGATGTAAGGCAGTAATAGAATGAATATGATAAATTATAAAGTAGAATGATAAAATTTTAAATTAAAAATATCTTATTAACAATTATAAATTGTAGATTTGATTTCAGTAGCTAAATGAATGGTTGGGCTGGTCATTGAAATAAATAGGAGAAAAAGAAAGAAGAGAAAGTAAGTTGTAGCAATAAATCATGGCATTTTGAGGATTTCTGTGATATTTTTATTATAAAACATTCAGTATACAATTATATATATGGACTTGAATATCCGAAGATCTTTATTGGAAGAAGAAATGGAGTTTAGATTGAACAAAATATTGATGGTATGCATCATGCAGTCAGCAGGAATTGGAGCTACCTAGGAAGCACAAAAGAAGACATGTCCATGTCACAGCTTGACAGTTTCATCAAAATTGATCCCCAAATTTATTAGATGCTTCAGAAATTGCTTTTCTTCCTCTTAAACAGATTAAATTGCTTCATCCTGACAACTCTCCCATCCCAAATGAAGTTATCCAATTGCACCTAAAGGACAAAATTGTGGGTAACTACACCACAGATACAAATGGCATTGCACAATTTTCCTTGGACACATCTAAGCTTACATACCCAAATATCACTTTGAAAGTAAGTTATCCAAAGGCAAGTAGAGAAAAACAAACAAGCAAAAATATATTGGCTAACTAAAGTTTACATTTATGCTACATTTTATTTTTGGAATAGAAATGGGGGGGGAAGCATGTTGGTTTGAATTTAGAATGCCAAAAAATGGTTAACTATTAAAGAAATAGTCTCTATAAAATAGATAACTATTTTACAAATCCTGAGAAAGTACAGGATAGCCTACACATTAAAGTATATAGAGGAAAATTAGCTGAAAATAAGCCACACTTCACTTTTACTATTGAACTAGAAAGAGAATTGCATTTCTATAGAGGAAAATACTTGTGAAATCTTGTAATCTATTATCATGGATAATGTAAAGAATTTCTCTGCACACATTCAAGAGAGAAGCAACCTAGTATCTTAAATGAGTTAGTAATGACTAAATGTCAAATTTTCCTAGATATTTTTAAAGGACCTCACAGACTTGTGTGTTTGGTAACTGACCATTGTTAGATTAATCTCCTTGCTCTATTTGATAAAAAGTTTTTTTCATTTTTCAGAAAATTCCATTTTGTTATTATTTTCAACATCAACTTATGTGTGCATTCATATGTTCTTCATATAATATTGAGAGATACAATGTATACATACTTGTAAAAACATCACTTTAGTACAGAGCATAGTAAAACAGTGTAATATTACTGAAACAGGATTTAAATAATAAATTATAAAAACAATATAGTGGTGATTCTAGAGTATAACTGGAAAGTTGGATTAGGGAATTCAGTCAGACTTAATGAAGAATGGGCCTGAAATTTTCCTAGAGATAGATCACCTTGATAAAAAACCATCTTAGCAATATTCTTTCACTTATCCTTTCTTTTTACCTTAAAATAACTAAATTTGATTTTTTGCCTAGGCAACCTACAAGGACAATGAAAATTGCAATGCATGGGGGTGGGTGTTGCCTCGTTACCCACAAGCAGAGTACTTTGTGACCCGATTCTACTCCAGGACTAATAGCTTCCTAAAGATTGTCCCAGAGATGGAAGAACTGAAGTGCGACCAGCAAAAGAAGGTGGCAGTGCACTACCTTCTCAACATGGAAGACCTTGAAGACAAAATCTATACAGTAAACTTCAATTATTTGGTATGAACTGAAATATTCTGCCCAAACTAGAATTGCTCTTGACTTTAAAACTTCTTTGAACCTAATGTAAATCCTTTGGCCTGAATATCATGAAAAAGGTCAAAGTAAACATAGAAGAAAAAATTTAACACAACTGAAGTTTTAAAGCTCCCGTTTTAAATTAAAAAATAAAAATAAAGGGGAACCAGACAGAGGATGTTACTCTAACCTTGATTCACTCCATCATCCTTGCCACTCTTCTTCATAGTTGCCCATTTTTTAAAATACTATCTCTCACTCACGTTTTTTTCTTTCCTTCAGCATTTCCACAAATATTAAAGTATTTTGGACGAGTAAGCCTGGACACCAAATTCTCAGACTAGACACTATATAACTCCACACTAACCCTTAGCTAAGCTGGTGCGGGTGGAGGTGCTGGTTGTGGAGAACAGGTCCTAGCCGGGCAGGGTGGGAACTCAGAGAAGTGACTCTATCAACCAGTACAGAAATTCTTCAACATTTCAACAGCAATATTGCGAGGAATGCCAAAGAACCTTGGGTGAGAAGCTGAGCCTCTTAACTAGTCTGTACATTAACACTCAAACATCTCCCTGATTTTTGCGTCTCTCTTCCCTGCTGCCACATCCTGCCCATCTCAGTATCCAATAGCTCCCACTCCAGAGGGAGCCCATTTTTAGATCTGTGGGCAAAGTGGTTTATTTCTCATTAGTTTCCCTCTTGAAACAGCTCAAGATCAACCCTTTCCTGCTCTGATAAATCTTTTATGATTACCTCTCCTGATTTCCATTTAAAATAGGAAATTTGCCTTTCCCTCCCTTTCTTCCTTCCTCCCTCCCTCCCTCCTTCCCTCCCTCCCTTCCTTCCTTCCTTCCTTCCTCCCTCCCTCCCTAAGTCTAAAAATTTAAAGTGATTGTTTTCCAGAGCGATTTGGGTTATTTCAATCCTCTAATAGAAATACATTCTATAACTTCCTGTCTCTATTAAAACAGCCAGCCCTTCTCTTTTGCCTCTTGTAGGGCCTTGCACTAGCCAGCTGCATTCTGCACTTTGGCCTTCTCTACTGCTGACTCATGAGCCTGTTGTTTTTAATGACAAGCCACATTCTTATCTATCTCAGGAGCCTCTCGAAACCTTTTCCCATTTATTGTTCATAACCATCATCTTTCCCTTTTGCTGCCACTGCTCCTGCACCCCCTGTACCCCCTTTTTCTAGTTGATTCTTCCCATCATTTCTCACTCAGGTGAAGTGAAWTTTCCTATTCTCACTGGTAATTCAAGTCTTACTATGTACACTTTCACAGTACATTATTGTTATCTATAGTCACTCTGCTGTCCAAAAGCACACCAGAACTATTACTCCTAACTATAACATTGTATTCATTGATTAACCTCTTGTCATCCCTTCCTCCTTCTTACTCACCCAGCCTCTGGCCACCACCATTCTACTCTCAACTTCTATGAGATCAACATTTTTAGATTCCACATGAGTGGTATCACACAATACTGGTCTTTCTGCGCCCAGCTTAATTCATTCAATGATCTCCATTTCCTTCCATGTAGCAATAACATGAAAGTCTCTTGATAATGCCTCTGTGAACTGTGTTCCATTAAAATCAATAAATTTAAGTATAATTCAGGAATTACAAATATGAATGAAGAGTTTTTCATTTGGTCATAGGAACTGATTTGGAATATGTAACACTAAATTGTTTTATAGGAAATTTAACCATGAATCTTAAATTCTCTTGAAGATTGTTAATAGGATTGTATGCTCATATACTTGTATCCTGAGTTCACTGGTAAACATTTTCAGTTATGTTGTTCAGACCAGGAAAACAGAAAAATTGTTTAAGTTTATAATTAAGTAAAGTTTGGTTTCTATTTTATAAACTTTGTCATAATATTTTTTCTCCTAGGTTATTGCAAGAGGTGTAATTGTTCTTCATGGGCAACAGAAAATTGAGAAGAAAGATGCTTGTGAGACCTCTAATTTGAGCATGGGATTTTATGCAAATAGAACATTTTAGTTGGGGCATATTTTATATATATATATATTTTAAGTCACAGCTTTCACATTTTAGGCCTTCTAACCCCAAATCACCCTTGGAGACCATGTAATACATAAAAATAGACAAGATATCAAAGAAAAATGATCAATTAATAAGTATTTTTTATAAAGCTAACTATTTTTAAAGCATCACATATGGGAAAGAGCAATTGTTCCTTCTCTTTCTCTTCCAGGAAATACAGTTAAGTATTTGAACACTCAAATAAGAAGGAATAAACAATGAAACAAAATAAAATTTTAGAGTTTGAGGTAATCAGAAATGTCCAAATAGTCCTTCCAGACCAACTTATGAACTTCTTCTAAAAAGATTCCATAAATTAAATGTGTTAGATTGGGGGAGTCTTATTTAGTGGCAGTGGGTGGATGTCTAGGAAGGTTTCTGCAAGATGACAGTCGACTGTTTTACCAAGGCACTTCTTCAGTTTGAGCTTTTCTTTCCCCAGCTATGAAGGGCGTATTTTCCATTCCTATAGATGTTAGTGCCCAGCTAGCTCCTTCTGCAGTTATGCTGGTCTATAGTTTGCATCCTGAAGGAGAAATAATTGCTGACACCACCCGATTCCAAATTGAGAAATGCTTCAAAAATGAGGTGAGGAAAAAGAAGCAAAAGACTCTTTTTCAGATTTGTTCAACTTATTGGAAAACTAAAATGAATTTGAAGTGCATTGGGCTTATAACCCATTTACTCTGAGTTTAAAATGAAATAAAAGCTAGAATGGTAGTTAATATGTTAGACAATCAAAAAGTATCAGGATTAGGCATTCACTTTGGATGTCGTTCCTATCCTTCTAAGTTACTGGTGTCATTAGAAGAGTAAATCAGAGAACTTCCATGTTTCAACTTGTATGTTTGAAAATTAAAAATAGTCTGAAAGGTGATTCTTCCCAAGTGGTTTGCAATACCTTAACCACCCCCTTTTTTTGTTTGGTTTTGTTTTCTTTTTATTTTCAGGTCAACATAAAATTTTCTAAAGAAAAAAGTTCACCAGGATCTACTATCAGTCTTCAAATMTCAGCTGCTTCAAATTCTCTTTGTGCTCTTTGGGCTATAGATCAAAGTGTATTGCTACTGAGGAATTACGGTCAGCTCTCAGCACAAAGCGTGAGTGAAACTATCTTATTTACTACCAACTATATAGGGTTATGTTTTTACCTTTAGATATAAATGAGAAACCTTAAATAAACTACCGCACAAAGAAATTTTCTGGAATCCAAGGAAAAAATATTTCAGTTTAGAAATCAGATCAAATGGACTTTATTTACTAATTATACATATTGTTTCATGCTAAAAGTTAGCTTTACCACTTTTAAAAATGAATTAAAAATTTTTAAATATTATTTTTATCTTTTTAAAAATATATAATATATATGTATATATACTTCTGTATGTATGTGTGGACATTCTTGTACTATTACTATTATACCTTTATTATAACTTTCGCTATCTGATAGTGCTAATTTTCTAGTCTTAAAAATTATGTTCACTGCTATGATTTATTGGTTCTTTTATATGAATTTTAAGATCAAATTCTTATTCTCTGCTTAGAAAATGAACTGTTGCAAATTATTAAAATAATTGTATTGAATATATACGTTTACTTAAGGAGAAGTTACTTCCATATGATCTTGAGATTCCTATTTCTAAATATACCTTATCTTTTCATTTAATAAATATTGTTCAATCCAGCTTTTATATATATATATATATACATATATATATATATATTATCTGCTGAATGTCTGCTGTTTGACACATACTATATTGAGTGTCTGATATATGTTATATAATTTTATTCTCATATAGCATTAATATAATATCCCCATTTTGACAAATGAATAATTTTAGGCTCAGGGAGATTTAACAAATTAACCAAGGGCATTATCTGACAATGTCTTTGAATGAGCCATCAAAGAATATTGAGACTTCCCTTTATCTGGAAGTTATTAAAATCCAATTGTGTTTCACCTGTCTTTGTTGATTTTATTTCAAAATGATTAAGCCAACCATTATTTAAGTGACTAAATATTGTTTCAGTCTTTATAGCTTTTCTTCCCCGGTAACTATATGTTACTCATAATAAAAAGAATTTTAAAAATTGCTTTTTTAAAAAAATATATAATTGATTCTCTTCTATCACTCAGGTATATAATCAGTTAAATTACAGGGAACTATATGGCTATTATTTCAAAAGTTTGAACTTAGAAGATGGCCCAGTAGTGCCATGTCTGAAAAATGAACAAATCCTACATAAAGGAATTTATTATGAGCCTGCATTGGCTGACTTTGGAAGAGATGCTTATGATCTTGTTAAGGTAAGATACCTAGCATTAAAATGTTGACTGCATGTGACAATATATAAATAAGTAGAATAAAAATAATAAATGTCTATTGTGTGAATTTTTAATCCAAGAATCATCAGTCTAATCTATAATTAGTATTAATATCTGAGAACTAATATTTCAAAAATATATTTATAAAAGAACCTATCATTATACATTTGTTATAAATTATAATATCACATGATATAATATTATAAATAATTGATAATGTCATAATATTGCTAAAAGAAAACTAATATCTTAGAGAATTATGTTTTATTGACACAGTGTTGTATGCATTTTATGCTGTCTCTAATATAAATACTCAAATATGTTGCTCCTATGTCTGTGCCCCAAATTCAAATTCTATTATGTTAAGTTATACATATTTTTGAAGTGCTTACAAGTGAGATATTTTCCCTAGTCTAAGAAATATGTCAAATTCAAAACAGTGACAATATAGTGAAGTAGGAGATGAGCTGGGGTCTGGCTGGTTTTTTACTCTGTTTTCTGTCCTCTCTTATTTAAAGGTTTTCCTCATTATCTGTTAATTAGGAAAACAAGACAAAGGTCATTAAATCTAAGAACCTAGGGAAATGGAAAACATAGACCTTAGAAAATAGCTATCTCTAAATATGTGACCAGTAGAGATGGAGAAATAAATAAGAGAAAGAAATAAAAACATCATCAGTTTGAAAAAACTGATCAAAATGATAGCCTGTACTATCATATGATATAAAACTGATTTTTATCTTGAAAGGCAATAGGATTAAAAGTCTTCACCAACTCTCATTACCGGAAACCAGTGCTATGTGAGGATCTCAAACATCCAGGCTGTGCTGATGAAAATTATTCAGGTGAGTTGTGATATAATGTAAAGGAGAGATGGCAGCTTACAGTCTTGTAATTCATCTAAATTGATCTAGGGCAAGAGGAGAGGATGTTGTTTTGTTCTGTCTTGTTTTATAATTAATTCAATAATTAATTCATAGCAAATGCTAGAAATATAGTGAGAATAAGGTAGGCAGATCTTTATATTCAAAGAGTTTAGACTGAATTTTGGATCATGATAATATATAAAAGGCATAATTTCCGATGAAMATAAGTGCCCTGATGGCTAATATTTATTGAATGGTTGCTATGTACCAAGTAATATTTTAAGCATTTTACATATATCAACCAATTTGCTCATCACAGGCTATAGATTAGAAACTGTTATCTCCAATTTAGTAGAGAGAAAATGAAGCAGAGGGAGGAGAAGTAGTTTACCCAATGCCACAGAGAATAAGTGACAGAGATGGGAGTGTGGTCCAGGCATTCTGGTCCTAAGTCATATTATATTATCATTATGTTGGACTCTTTCGAAAACGTACTGTAAAGAAAATATAAGGGAAGAGAGCAGACCATGAGGATGCTGTTTTAAGTAAGGTAGTCAGCAAAACTCTCTATTAAGAGACAACCTTTGATCAGAAACCTGAAAATTTTCAAGTTCTATATAAAGAAATATCTGCAAATTTTAAAAAAATATGAAGACATGATAAAAAAGGAAAACGAGAAAAATACATAAAAATCTTATACAAAATTTTGCTAGTAATTAGGAAAAATAATTAAAAGAACATCAAGAAATCAGTTCACATACATGCTAATAGCAAAAAGAAGAGAAAGAAAAGTCAGATAGCAATAACTGAACAAATGAACAAAATAGGAACACCCCACACACTATAGGAGGGAACCATAAGTCAACACAGCCATATGTGGGTGAAAATCCTTAAACCAATATGCGTCTACCTTCTAACACAGCCATACAATTCTCAGCATATATACCAAAGGATTTTATTCAAATTCACAAGAAGCAAGAATGTTATGGGATATCTAGCCCATTGTTGTGTGTGCTGCCTTAGAATGGAGACAACCCAAGGGGCTTTTACTAAAAGGATGGATTAAAATCATGTGGTGACTACATGCTATGGAATATTTTATAGCATTAAGAAACAGGATGAAGGCTGGGAGCAGTGGCCACGCCTATAATCCCAGGGGCTCCTGAGGCAGAGGCAGAAGGATCCAGAGTTCAAAGCCAGCCTCACAATTTAGCAAGGCGCTAAGCAACTCAGTGACACCCTGTCTCTAATAAAATACAAAACAGGGCTGGGGATGTGGCTCAGTGGTCTAGTGCCCCTGAGTTCAATCCCCAATACTCTCTCTGCAAAAAGGAAAAAAGAAACAGCAGAGATATGTTTTAAGACCAATTTTTATGTGGGGAAAAGTAAGAAACATAGTAACATCCAAATTGTACTATCATTTGCCTTAGTGAAAAATAGATAAATGTCAAGTATATATACATATCCAGTATATACATAAAATAACTAGAGTATTAGTGGAGGGAAGAGTTCCTCATGAAAAATACAGGGATGATGTTTAGATATTTATATATCATATGTACTAATAATATATTATTTTTATGTTTACTTTCCAAGAAGTAGAAATATGGGCTAAAATTTGCAAATAGAAATAGACACAGATCATAGTCAGCATTCAAGATTATCTAGGTATCTAAAATAAAGAATCAGGAGACTGTCTAGATGAAAGGAATTTAAAATGTAAAATGTACACATGAAACCTCCCATAGAATATGTTCTCATGACTAAGAATAAAAATTATAAGCTTCTGAACAATACGTATACTTTGAAAGACTATGAAAGTGAACAACAAAAAGAAAGCTATCTTTAAAGCTAAATGGACCATTGAATAATAAGGAAAAGATATTTAAATGAATATTATATTTTTTAAGGTATTTAAAAAGATGAAGTGAGCATTGGTGGTAAAAGTCAAAGGAACTTTGGTTTTGTTTTTTGTCTTTTAATTATTTAGTAGGATAAAGTATTTCCATACTAGTTGTGTAGCATATGTTTAAATACAATATAACAAAATATCAATGATTGATGTTTTCAGGGGTGAATTATTTGACTTTTTAATAAGCATTTGTAAAATTTTCACAGGTTATTTACCAAATATAAGATATACCTAGAAATGGAATTTTAAAGCTTTGTCAAAGATTTTTGTGAGAATTGGATGAGTTTTTTAATTAGTTCTAATCAGTTATAAATGACAGCAAATAGAGCACAACTCTTCATTTCTCTGGTTGTACACAATGTAGATTTGTACCACATGTGCAGTCATACCTGTACCTAGGGGTAATCATGTTCATCTCACTCCACCATCTTTCCTACCCCCATGCCCACTTCCCTTCCCTCTCTCCCCTTGGCCCAATCAAAATTCCTCCATTCTCCCCACCCCCACCCCCATTATGGATCAGCACCCACTTATCAGAGAGAACATTTGGCCTTTGTTTTGGGGGGATTGGCTTACTTCGTTTGGCATGATATTCTACAGCTCCATCCATTTACCTGCAAATGCCATAATTTTATTTCTTTTAATGCTGGGTGATATTCCATCGTGTATTTATACCATAGTTTCTTTATCCATTCATCTATTGAAGGGTATCTATGTTGGTTCCACAGTTTAGCCATTGTGAATTTTGTAGCTATAAACTGAAGTGTCTGTGTCCCTATGGTGTGCTGTTTTTAAGTCCCTTGGGTATAGACTTAGGAGTGGGATAGTTGGGTCAAATGGCAGTTCCATTCCAAGTTTTCTAAGGAATCTCAATACTGCTTTCCAGACTGGTTGCACAAATTTACAGTCCCACCAGCAATGTATGAGTGTGCCTTGTCATATAGGAAAAGTGCTTTCAACCCTGAGACATACCAGTACTTCTGTTAAGTGATGACTGCTATTATTATTAAATACTGCCCACAAAATATAATCCCATGTATTAAGATATGAAGTTTGGGATATGAAATAACTAATAATTTGCTGCCTTCCTCCAAATATGTTGTATTTTATTCTATTAAGACTTGTAAATTTACAAATAATAATTTTGTGTATTTAAGGGGAACAATTGGATGTTTCAGTACAAGCATACATTGTGAAATGATCAAATCAGGTTAATTAACATACCTTTTGCCTTAAATATTTATAATTTCTTTATGGTAAGAACATTTAACATCTTCTCCTTTACCTGGTGCTGAAGAACTACTATCAGAATCATATTCTGATCGTGCTCTTGGTGGATCTTATACTGAAACACTGAGGAAATCATTTCCTGAAACATGGGTTTGGAGTCTTATTACAACTGAGTGAGTTTTTAAATTATTATTTTTTTTTTCATTTAATTTTTTTTGGTCTGAGCGAGAGAAAGTATCCATTGTCCTTCACAAAATGAGCGTGCCCTAAAGAGTAAAAATTAAGAGAGTGTGTCAAAATTCTGCCAAACCTGTGATAGGTTTCCACTAAATTCTCTTTTCTTCCTTTTACTTTCTCATTTCTTTCATTTATTTACTTATTTTTCTTACTCTGTTACTTTTTGTCATTTACTTTTATAAGAACTTGACTCTATTGGAAGGAAAGTTTTATATAAAATAGTCTGGAATTTTGGTTTTTGTTGTGTAACATGGTGAACATGACACTCATCAAGTACACATGGACATAAGGGAAACAGGAGAAAGAAGAGGAACTAAAATGCTAAGGAATCAAAACGGGCAACAAAGAAGAAATAATGAAAAGGAGGAAGAAAGGGACGAAGGGAGGTTGAGAAAAATGAATTTCTAAACAGCACCCAAAAAATTAAAGTACAAGGCTAGTGTACACATTTTAAACTTGAAAACCACTTATGTGACTCATATTTCTATGCTTATCATTGAAAGTAGACTAAACTAGTCCTTAAATTATATATTCTGTGTAAATTAAATGAGTCCTTAATTACATGTATCCTGCTCACCCAACATTTCTAAATGCTTGAGTGTCTGAGACCATTCATGGAGTCCACTAATAACAAAGATAAAAATATACTCAGATAAAACCATCTTAGTATTTTATAAGAAAGTGAGAGATTTGTGTCTATGTCAAGTATTTTAGTAGTTTTTTAATTTGGTAGGAATTGTAAGCAAAAATATACCTTCAAAAATATGGAGAGTTAAAAGGATGAGATCACAAATCTTAAAAAACAGAGAAGAAGCAAAGATAACTTAGTACTATAATAGGAGCATCTAATGCTCAGAACACAAATACCTGATTTTGAGGTTCTTTATAGATAATGTGTAACATGAAGCAAACAGAGTAAGAATAGAATAAAAAGAAGATTTGCTTACTGTAGTTTAGTAGCATTGAACTGTCAAAGGAAAGTCCATAAACATTTGAGTGGATGGGATGAGGTGATTATATGGTGACAGCTCCTCTCTTCAGTGGTACCTGAATCTCCTCTTTTAGCTCCACAGGAATAGCCAACCTTGGTCTGACGGTTCCCGACACCATTACACAGTGGAAGGCCAGTGGATTCTGCATGAATGACAAAGCTGGATTTGGCATCTCTCCAACCATCTCCCTGACAGCTTTTCAGCCCTTCTTTGTTTCCCTCACTTTACCCTATTCAGTGGTTCAAGGAGAAGCATTCACTCTAAAAGCCAATGTGTTCAACTATCTGAACAAAAGTGTTCAGGTACTAACTCAAGACTTCTTACTAATATATATATATACCTTAGTAATAATATGCCTTTCCAGGTATGTCCTCCCTACTTTTGAGCATATTAAATAGCTTTACCAACATTTTAGTGTGGAGTTTAGAAATACAAATTACCATACCTGGATGACTGTCTGAAAATAAAATAATTTAAGACAAGGTTTATGAAGTAAGTCATCTGTGTGTGAGAGGAGGATGGATGGGAAGATTAAATGAGGAGATATGTGGCACCTCTATTTCTTCAACATATTCAAGAATTTTTACACACAAGTCCCTCTGAAACAGAAGGATTTACAAAATTAGTAAGCTAGATATTATTAAATTGGAATTTCAATTGCTTGCCTTTCACCTTTGGATTACCTGAGGATATACAGAATATATGAGATTGTAGTAGTTTTGTGGACTTTTGACATCTGGAAGGTGGCTTCAAAACCAAATAGCAATTTCATATTAGAAAAAAGCTCAGACATTTAAACCTGGATTCATGTCTTAGTTTTAATAGATTCTAGTTCTGTAGCTTTGAACCAAGTACAACCTTTTTTAGTCTCAGATTTGGAATGTGTAAAATTATGTTAATAATAGCTATTTCACTGCATTTTATGAGCATTGAATGAAATAATATTAATAGTCTTGCACAAAACACTGCCGATAGGCATTGGATTTATCTTCCTCACCCCAGTCAGAATGGCAGTCATCAAAAATACAAGTAATAACAAATGCTGGAGAGGACATGGAAAAAAAGGAACACTTTTACACTGTTGGTGGGAATGTAAATTAGTACAACAACTATGAAAATCAGTATAGAGGTTCCTCAAAAGACTAGGCATGGAAGCACCTTATGACCCAGCTACACCACTCCTTGGAATTTGTCCTGAAGAATTAAAGTCATCATACTACAGTGATACATGAATGCCCATGTTTACGGCAGCACAATTCACAATAAACTATGGAACCAACCTAGGTGTCCATCAACAAGTGAATGGATAAAGAAAATGTGTTACATATATACAACAGACATAATAAAATTATGTCATTTGGATGGAATTTGAGACCATTTTGTCACTCCTTTATTGATATCCATTTATTGGGTCAAAGTCACCAAACAATAGGTACAGCATGATGTATTCAAAATGCCAAGTAATATAAATAATCAACATATTTTTACTTTAACTGATACTATTTACTGAAAAGAATAAAGGGGGTTGTATGTATTGTTTAGTAGTAGAGTACTTGTCTGACACTTGCAAACCCCTTGGTTCAATCCTTGGGAAAAAATAAAGATAAAATTGGAAAATAAATCATAAAGCTATTTAGTTTATCAGGATGCAGTATTGAGTAATAGTCATCTTTAGAAAAAAAATAAGAGCATTTTTTATATTCAAGATAGTTTGCATTTGCTTTTTTGTGAGACTGAATTGGAATATACTGTTCTAGATATTCTGTATATGCTATGTTATGAAACCAAGATTCATAAGAGCTTATGTTAATTTATGTGATCAAAACATCAACTCATTTTGCCACAGATCTCTAAAGAAATGTCTTGTTTAGTCACTAGTGCATTGATTGCTTTTTCAAAATAATTAGTCAGAAAGTGCCAAAGGCCAAGTTATAATAATTATGTAATGAGATTTTGAAGGTTTTCCCATGGTTTGGAAATCATTCTTCCCACAGCAGAACATGAAATGGGAGAAATTTAACTTCTCAGGCATGCATGACTATATTATGTTTACATATGGAAAAGACTAAATCTTTTTTTGTATTTTTTTTTACAAATCTGTCCTTCACAGATAAACACTGTACTAAAAGCATCTAGTTTTTACCAAGCCAGATTTCTCTCAACCAAGGATGAAAATGATTATATCAACAGCAATGAACAAAAGTCCTTTACTTGGCTGGTTACCCCACATAAGCTCGGTAAGACTTTATGTAAGACATACTTTTATATAAGATATGATTTTATATTCTTTTATAATGCTCCTAAGAGTTTGTTATACTGTTTCTCTACTATAACAAATTTACCCATTTCATAGTACCACCATCCATTCTCCTCCTATTCCTACTACAGCACTTGCTCTCTCTCTCTCTCTCTCTCTCTCTCTCTCTCTTTCTCTCTCTCTCTCTCTCTCTCTCTCTCTCTCTCTCTCTCTCTCTATATATATATATATATATATATATATATATTCTTAGTTGTAGTTGAACACAATATCTTTATTTTATTTATTTTTATGTGGTATCAAACCCAGCACCTCACACGTGTTAGGCAAGCACTGTACCACTGAGCCATAACCCCAGCCCCTACAATACTCTTTTATCACCTAAATCCAATATACCTGGGGATAGGAGTAGGGAGTTGAATCAATTTCTGACTTTAAAATTTCCTGTTTTCTATGCAATTCTCAATTTACAGTTCTGTACAATTTCAATTACTTTTACAATTTGTCTCAACTTAGATCCCAAAATGATCATGCTTCCTTGAATCTTCATTTAAATGACTCTGCCATTCACATTTCTTGCCATTTCAGGTACAATCAATATCACCATTACAACTAAAACCCTGCAGAGGAGTAGCTATGACAACAGGACATCCATGGGTCAGGATGTTGGTTGGAAGGATACATTAATCAAACCACTGCTGGTAGAGGTATGATCTTAATGGAAAACTGTGGTCCTTCATGTTTATTGCAGCACTGTTTGTAATAGCTAAGATGTGGAATCAACCTAGGTGCTCGTCAAAAGGGGAATGGATAAAGAAAATGTGGTTTATATCCATAATGGAGAATTATTCAGTCATAAAGAAAAATGGAATCATTTTATTTGAAGAAAAATGGGTGTAATTGGAGGAGAACATGTTATGTGAAATAAGCCAGATATAGAAAGACAAGTACCATATACTCTTTCCTATATGAAAAAGTTAAAAATGTTGATTTGAAAGTAGTGATTACCTGAGATTGGGAAACACAAGGAATAAAGATGAGGATAGAAAAAGGGAGGTTATATTTGCTCACAGTGTATATCACATTTATGCATGGAAATGTCACACCGAACCTCATAACTATGTGCAATTAATGTGTGGTAATTAAAAAAAAAACTTAACGGGCTTTGAGGAGAAGCCTACTTGTATTTCAAATTTTTTTCTTCATAAATAGACATTAGGTAGATGTTTCAAAATTTATAGAAACAGGTTTTATTCACTTATGTAACAATACAGCACAATATTTTAATCAAATATTTGGGACAAAAGGCCAGAGATAGCCATTTATTCCACTCCATAAAGAGAACATTTGCAAACAATGTTTATTATTCTTGAAATTGAGCAACAGAATTTTGGAGATTGAAGGATTTTTGAGAAAGTTCTTGCCTTCATTTTTTTTTAACAGCTTCTTCTTTTATAGCATGCAAAATAAAATTTTCATTTCAGCATTATCTTGGACTTAAAATTCATATATTCATTACCTGTTACAAATTTTTCAGAATGGTTTATTCATATATTATTGTTAATTTACAAATGTTCTGAAATTACTTGAAACATGAAATTAAGTATAACTACCCTCTCTTCTTTCAACAATTAGCCTGAAGGTATTAAAAAGGAGGTGACACAAGGCTCACTTATTTGCACAAATGGTAAGTAGATATCTTTACACAGGCTTTCTGACATGGCAATGTTGAATGACACCTCCATTTGTCTTTGGGGATTATTATTTTTTACCTCTAATATGTGGCTACTGGGAAATATTAAGTCACTTTCAAAAATAAAAATTTAACATCCTATGTGTCAAGGTAATTGTAAAACCTCTAGGTCTTCCTTATTTCCTACACCCTAAATCAAAAACCAGAGCATCCTAATTTTATTTAATTCTTAATTCTACTCCTGAATTTCTTTCCATCTAACCCTGATTCTTTCATCAAAATACTCATGATTACAAATGTTCTGTCCAAAGACCACCACCAAAGTAGAATGATCTCTAACTACTTCAAATACATAGCTTCTAGGACCTTCTCTTGTCAACCTATCTTGGAGCCAAATTATGGTAAGTCTTTTTTCTAACTACTACATCACCAGAGATTCATTACTTACCCAGAGGTCTGACTCATATCTATTGTCTACATATCTTTCCATTTCACCAAATTCAACAACTAGCTTGCGGTATAAATAACAGAGTACAACAAATACTTTTCTATTATCTAACTTATTTTTCAGTGGCTGCTATTTTTTGTTCCTTATTTGTTTGAATGTTAAAAATGCAAAATTCTTCTAATCAGAGAAGCCAAAAGTCTCATTTTATTTTCTAATATCTTATCGCCTCAAGGAGTATACTCAGGTAGTAGAGCACTGTAGCACCTGTGTAGAAATTATACTGACCCTGAATTCAAAAAGCCTGGATCCAAGCTAGATGTTCTCTTAATTTTTTTCTGATTGCTTTATAGTTAGGAATAAGCAATAAGAAGATATTAAGTAATTTATTAATAACATATAAAGTATAATATAAAACTCCTGGTTTTTAAAACAAATGAGAGTTCTGAGTTAATTGATGAACTTTTGTGTTTCCTAGGATCCACAGTATCCCAAACAATAACATTCACTTCACCAGAAAATCTTGTGAAAGATTCACTGAGAGTTTATTGGTCTGTTCTTGGTAAGTCTGAAATACTATGAAATGAGGAAATTATACATAGGTTTAGAAGAGGAAGAAAAAGCATTCCTATTTTTGCCCTGGTTCTATTTGCAGCTTGTCATCTATTTGGGTTCCATATCTATCCTTCTGATTTTATGATTGATATTGATATATCTGACTAGATATTCAGCTACACTCAGAAATCAATTGTCAGAAACTCTAAAACATCTTCATTTTTCTGGCTCTTACCTTTCCCTTTTTTAACTGAGATAGAGTCTAGCAATATTGTCCAGGGTTGGCAATCCTCCTGCCTCAGCCTCCTGAATAGCTGAGATTACAGATTGGTGCCACCAAACCCCAGCCTCTTTCCTTTTTATAAAGGTCATTGTAACTCTGGTACATACAATTTAGTCTCACTATTGATCTTTCCATGTGGTGTCTCAATTAAAGACCACCACAGTAAAGAATAGTTCTGATGTGCTCTCAGAAACTAGTGATTTTCATAACATAGCATGTAGGGCTAGTAAACATTGGTATTTCACTCCTTTTGATTGGAATTATAATACTGAGGCCAAAGCAAATAACATTCCACACAAAGGTAGTGATTCTTGCAGGCCAATGATCACAGGCAGACAAAGCCTTTCATTTCACTCTGCAGGCTCTATAAACATAGTCATCTTCAAATAAATGCAAGATCTTGAGACTAATCAATAACAACTAATAAATACTTTTGGAATATGCCCAAGTAGTTTTAAAATGGAGATCTGAGGGATTCAGTGGAAGGGCTCTGCACTCCATGTGGCATTATGGTTAATCCTCTTGTTGTCAAAGAAAAAGGGTGGTCTAGAAAAGTGCTCATGAGCAAAAGAAGTCAAATCAAGAACATCCTCCAACCTTCAACATCAAAACCCAAAATATGGGGGTTTAGCTGAGCTTACACTTTAGGCAAATCACTCTCATCCTTGAAACTATGCCCTAATAATAGATTGCAAGCATAATTATATTCATGGCAATCACCCCAAAGCATTCCATGAACTTATTTGTAAATATTTTAATTTATTAAAATGGTGTTGAATTTACTTTGCTAGTATTTTGTTGAAGATTTGGGGGTTTATGTTCAGCAAAGTTACTGACCTATAGTTTTCTCTTCTTGAGTAAATGCTGGCCACTAAAACAAGTCTGGGAATGTACCATCCTCTTTAATGTCTTGAAATAATTTAAGAAAAATTAGTTTAATTATTCTTTAAATATTTAATTGAATTCACTGTTTAGCCATTTGGTCCTGAGCTTTTATTTGTTTGGAGACTTTTTTATTTCTCAATCTTATTACAATTATTGTTCATATTTTCTATTTCTTCATGATTCAATCTTGGCAAGTTGTTAATTTCTTCTAGGTCATCTAGTTCATTGGCATATAATTATTCAAAATAGTTTTTTTATGATTCTATATATCTCTGTGACATCCATTCTAGTGTCTTTTTTTTTTTGCTTTAAAATCTCTCTGATCTTATTTATTTGAGCCTTCTCTCTTTTTACTCAGTCTAGGTAAGGATTTGTCATTTTTTGTTTATCTTTTCAAACAACCTGCTGCAAGTTTTTTTTCTATAATTGTTTTTTAAGTCTTTATTTCGGTTCTGATAATTTATTTTCTTCCTTCTGTTGGACTTAGTTCTCTTTGTAGTCCCTTCAGGTGTAAAGTTAGTATGTTTATTTGACATCTTTTATTTTTCTTAATGTAGGCATTTATTGTTATAAACTTTCCTCTTCAGCTACTTTGCTATATCCATAAGTTTCTTGTGGTTTGTTTCCATTTCTCTTTTTCTCAAGATTTTTTGTTTTCTTTTGATTTCTTCTTTGACTCATTAGTTGCTCATAAGTGTGTATTTAATTTCCACAGATTTATGCCTTTTGTAATTTTCCTTCTGTTGTTGATTTCTAGTTTCATATGATTTTCATCAGAACAGATGCTTGATGTGATTTCAATCTGTAGACTGTGTGCTTTGCCGTAACAGAGCACAGCAGATAAGAAAATTGACTCTCACAGAAGGCTACCTAGATTTGAATCCCAGATTTACCACTTGCTGTATCATTTTGGACAAGTTTCTAAACCTCTCTGTGCCTCATTTCTCATTGTCCCTTAAATGAACTTAATAATATCACTTACTTCATAAGCTTGTTATAAAAATTAAAATAAGATGCATGGATACCTCCAGATACATAGTCAGGCTATGGAAGTGCTAGGAATTGACAGGAAGTATGTTAGGGAAGGGACTGAGTCCAGGAACTCAGAATCCATATTGATTTGGCTTATTCCTGACTCTGTTGCATCTTTTATGAATGATGGTGGAAATACTTTTAGCCTTCTCTGCCTCTATTTCTTCATAGATAGGAGCTGTAGTATCTATTTATGTTATTGTTCTAGGGATTGAATGAATTAGTATGAGTAAAATGCTCAGAAGAGTATCTGCTACCTGCATGTTTCATAGATGCTCAATTGGGGGGCCACATTTTGTCTCTTTTGATTGATGAAGGGCCTGATATTTTCTACTTCATCTTGGGACCTCTTAAGACTTGTGATTCCCACAATCTTTTTTAGTTCTTTTTCTCTTGACTGTGCTGCTTGGGATAACAATTTCCCCCTTTACTTCTGTAAATAGTGCCTTAAATTATCTTGCTAATTTTATGGTATGGCCTCAACAAACAGAAAAAAAGAGAAAGCTCCAATAATATTTTAAAAATAGTTATCATGAATATCCATAACACAGAAATATTGAGCATAAACTAATTTTATTTATTTTACCAATTTTTATGAAGCACATCATATTGACTTGATTGTCTTTTCAGGAGACATTCTGGGTTCTATCATGCAAAACTTACAGAATTTTCTCCAGATGCCTTTTGGGTGTGGAGAACAGAATATGGCCTTATTTGCTCCTAATATTTACATCTTGGACTATTTGAATCAAACTGAACAACTCTCAGAAGAGATAAAATCCAAGGCTATTGGATATTTGACCACAGGTGAAACATTTAAAAGCCCTATTTTGTTTATCCCAGTTAAATCTCTGAATCCCAGCTGTTTTGCTTATTAAGTACATAAATGTACACATATATATGTATATACATACATATATACGTATATATGCCTATACATGTATATATTTATCCACATGTAATAAACATAACTATTCAATTAATCAAATTTTCCTTCTGGACAATTGCTTCTAAACTGAAAAATAGTAACTCTTTTCTTATTTTAGGATATCAGAGGCAGATGTCTTATAAACACTCAGATGGATCATATAGTACCTTTGGACATGAAGATCAACAAAAAAATACATGGTTTGAATTTATTATTTATATCAGCAGTTAACTAGATATTTCAAAATATGTCTACTTTTAAATGGATTTTGGAGATTTTCTAAAAAGTATGGGTCCTGTCCTCCAAAGTATCCACATTATTTTAATATGACTCTTGAGCTCTTGGGTTAAACATTTATGGAATTTCTATCTTTTACTTACCAAAAGAACACATAGCAAATAAGCAAATCATTAGACAATACACAGTCACTCAGTGGGACAAAATAAGGGATGGGAAATCACACTTATTATATAGCAAATTATTCCAATTGAAACATTAACATCTTCCAACTCACCTTCAAAGATAGGGCCAACATTGCTTGTGCTGACTTGTGATACTACTCAGAAATCGTGTTGTATAGACATGTACTCTCTTAATGGCAAATGAAGAAAACCCCACTAATTTGATTAGAATAATAGTTGCCAAAAATAGTGCAATAAGAACCAATACAAAATAAATTAAGCATAGGTTGTGTTTTTATTGTAATATTATTCTACTTGTTTTAAATTTTATTCCCATATAATTACCTTTTAATTACAGACACATATTCACTCCTTGTTAATATGTCCTGAATATTAATATGGTTTTGAGATACAAAGAGATAAATAGTAATTAAAGTAATTATTGTTGTTTCTTTTATAATCGAGTATAATTAATCCCTGTAACAACCCAATGGAGCAAGTAACATTATGATACTTATTTTGCATATGAAGAAATAGAAACAGTTTATTTATTGACAGGGCTACCATAACAAAGTGCCACAGACTGTGTGGCTTATCCTCTTACAATTCTGGAAGATGGGAGTCCTAAGGTCAGTGTGATGGCAGAGTTGATTCTCTTTCCTTGGCTCCCAAGTGGCTACCTTTTTTCTAGGTTTCCCTAGTCTTCTGTCTGTCTGCATCCAAATTTCCTTTTCCTCCTATAAAGACACAAGGCACGTTGGATTAATGTCTAAACAAATATTACACTTTTACTTTGTTACCTCTTTAAAGACCCTGTCTCCAAATATGGTCACTTTCTGAGGTATTAAGTGTGAGGACTTCAACATATGAAAATAAGGAAGACACAGGGCAACCCATATCACAGAGAGAGTAAATATATTCTTCTAAATGTACTCTGCTAATTATGTGGTAGATTTTTAATGTTTTTCCAGAATCTGACCTTTTACCTGCTCTAATATTTTGCCCCTGAGTACTATACGATCTCTGACCTCAGAATGTTTGCAGTACATTGGGAAAGAAAATAAAGTACATTGGAACACAACATGGCAAAAGATGTAATAAAAATATACACAAACTGCCATGGTAGCTCAGAGGCAGGAAAAGTTCCCCAGGAACTATATAATGACGTGTTTGTACACATTAACATGTTGATGAATCTGACCTAACACTTAACTGTAAGGAACACAAGTCTAAAAGGGAAAAGGATGCATATCTAAATACACACCTTATTCATCATGTCTGGAGGAGCCATTTCAGGTAATCATCTGTGAAAACAAGTCACACATGCCTGAGCTTGACTGCTAATAGGTTTTCTTTAAAAAAAATATTTATTTATTTTTTTAATGTAATATATGACAGCAGAATGAATTACAATTCATATTACACATACAGAACACCTTTTTTCATATTTCTGGTTGTATACAAAGTATATTCACACCAATTCTTGCCTTCATACATGTACTTTGGATAATGATGTCCATCACATTTCACCATCATTTCTAACCCCATGCCCCCTCCCTTTCCCTCCCACCCTATTTAGAGTTCATCTATTCCTCCCATGCTCCCTCTCCCTACCCCTACTCCCTACTATGAATCAGCATCCTTATATCAGAGAAAACATTCAGCATTTGTTTTTTTTGAGATTGGCTAACTTCACTTAGCATTATCTTCTCCAGCTCCATCCATTTACCTGCAAATGCCATTATTTTATTCTCTTTTATTGCTGAGTAATAATCTATTGTGTATATATGCCAAATTTTTCTATCCATTCATCTATTGAAGGGCATCTAGGTTGGTTCCATAGTTTAGCTATGAATTGTGCCACTAAAACATTGATGTGGCTGTGTCCCTGTAGTATGCTGTTTTTAAGTCTTTTTGGTATAAACTGAGGAAAGGGTTATCTGGGTCAATAGTGGTTCCATTCCCAGATTTCCGAATTTTCATACTGCGTTCCATGTTGGTTGCACCAATTTGCAGTCCCACCAGCATGTGCGAGGGTGCCTTTTCCCCCACATCCTCGATAACTAACTTATTGTTGTTTGTCTTCATAATAGCTGCCATTCTGACTGGAGTGAGATGGTATCTTAGAATAGTTTTTGAATTGCATTTCTCTAACTTCTAGTGATGATGAACATTTTTTCATATATTTGTTGATTGATCGTATATGCTCTTCTGAGAAGTATCTGTTCAGGTCATTGGACCGCTAATAGGTTTACATAGGTATAACGTTCTGTAACTTCTTATTAAATTCGTAGACATTAAGAGAAGAGAAATGCAGGAAGTCTACTTTGGCTCAAGGTAAAGATAAAAGAATCTGAGAGTACATCATAGTGGAGATAACCCTTCATCTGGGACACATGATGAATGGGGAGAAAGAAAAGGAGGCACATGAGCCAAATGAGAGGACATTTGAAAAGGAAGCAGATACATTATGAGACTAAAATTTGGGGAAGAAATTTTCAGGATGTGAAACTCAAAAATCCAGTTGTGTCCAATCACCTATGCTAATAAGAATGTTGTCTTCCTCTCAATGTTTATTATAAATATGCACCATATGTAATTTTTTTCCAGGCTCACTGCATTTGTATACAAGTCATTTGCACAGGCCAAACCCTACATTTACATTGATGACAAAATTCAATCTCAAACACTTATTTGGCTCTTAAGTATTCAAAAATCTGATGGCTGCTTCATAAATCATGGCAAAGTCTTCAACAATGCTTTGAAGGTATGCATGGAATTCTACCTTACAGTTTTCTATTCTTTCATCATGATCATTTAGTGACTCCCAAAGTACCACTTTGGGAAATTTCTACTGTAATCAAACTGGAATTTCTACTCACATAAATTAACTCTCAGGAAAACCAGTAATTTCTTTTTCTCTTCACAAATACATTATTTTGTTTCCATCAGCCAGATTTAAAACTAAAAGAAACTAAGAGTAGTTGTGGGGCACTGTGGCAAGATGACTAAGAAGAGTATTAATGGAAATAAAAAATGTAAGAGAACCCAGATAATCACCAATAATTTAATAGTTAATCATTTAAGAAATTATTCTTGGGCAGCTAAGGCAGGAGGATCACCTATTTGAGGCCAGGAGGGCAACTTATGACTGGAGATGTAGCTTAGTGGTAGAGAGCTTGCCTAGTTTACATGAGGGCCTGGGTTCAATTTTCTGGATCACACATGAATAAAGGTTTTTTTCTCAACTTTTTTTAATTATTAGAATTTAATTTGTTGAATTCTCACTTGTTAATATCCCCAAGGTAGTGTTAACAAATGAATTTGTCTTTTATTTCTGAGCTTTTCCTAAACTTGTATTTTCTTCATAATTATCATGTGTTTATAGTACATCACAGATTTAATATAAAACATTTACCAAAATATTATCCCTATGTCAACAACTCAGAAGCAGCCACTGTTTTGGCAATTGTTTCCTTCAGTCATTTCTCCAATGCTATATATACATAATTTGGATTATTATGTACTGATTTTTTTAATCTTACTTTTTTGAAACCTAATTTGTACATAATGATTTGCCATTCCATTAGAATAACTTAAAATCATAAAATAAATATCTTTTTGTATACTCCATCATATGGATAAATCATCAATTTTTAAATTATTTGATCTTCTTGTATTAAGTGAAAACAATAAATAAGTTGAATATTAAATACAAACTAAAGTTACATAAAAATTCTTATATGTTCTCCAATTGTATTAACTTAAGGACAGATATCTACAAGTAAATTTTTTTGAAGTTCTAAAATGACACCAGACTGATTTTTAGTAAAGTTATGTCAATTTATATTTTCTCTATGTAGAGAGTGTCTATCTGAATCATAGTACTATCACTAAAATTGAGCAATATATGTATGAAAACAGTCTTCAAAAATGTAGGAACACAAAAAACCTGCTTTATCCTATTTCTGTTTACAAGTTAAACAATTTTTTTCACATGATTACTTGCCATTTATATTTTCTCCCTTGTAATTTTCATTTAATCTTTGGAGTAACTTAGATTTTATTTACTACTAGTATTATTGTATAATCTAAAAATCATTTATTTGTCTACTCTAAATAGTTTACCATTTGTAGCACCTCCTGATAATTACTGTTGTCTGGGCTTTCTGATTTTTGAGGCCATTTATATTGATGATGAAGTTCAGTCTCAAACTCTTATTTGGTTTCTGCTTTCTGTACTTGCTATGATTTCTTTCTGCTCTGCTTGTTCTGTTGATCAACATGCCTCTCTATTTTATGCTACACTCTTTTAATCATTGTAATATGTTAGTCTGCATTTTCCATGACACTTTCTAGGTTCTTTCTGGGGTGAGGATGAAGGAGAGAGTTGGGAGATGTTTGCAGAGCATCCTATGCCTCCTTTGATTTTAAATACATTTGTAGGAACATAATTTATTTTTCTAAGTTATGTTACTATTTCTATAAATGTTTTATATTTTCATGCATTATTTCCTAATTTATGAGAAGTGTCTTTTGAGGATATGAAAATCTTTGCCCCCCCAAATTAGGAAAACATGTACAAATATGAAGTTTCCACAATACGTTACATTTATTTTTCCATTTGTACATTACAATTATATGTAATAGTGGGTTTCATTATTCCATATTTGTACCTGCATATAATATAATTGGATCAATCTCATTTTCCTGTACCTTCCTTTCCCTCCCCTCTGCCCTTCACTATCTGCTTGCTCTGATCTTCTAATCCTTCTTCTAATTTTATTATTATTTTAATTGGTACATTATAATTATAAAGGCTAACAATACATTGCATTTCAAAAGAAAGGCTTCTTTTCCTCTGAATTTCATGAAACTGACATGATCATGTTTTATTCAGGGAGAAGATAATGAAATCTCCCTCACTGCATATGTCATCAACGCTCTGCTTGAAGCTGGTCATCCAGTCTCAGTAAGTCGCTCACAAGCGATACCACTAACTAGCTTCTTAAGAATTCAAAACTTTATGCTAACAATATAGTAATAGATCTAAAACTGTATGTCCAGAGCTATTGCAGAATACTGCTAAACCAATTTCCTTCTGTTAGATTTAAATACAAGGTGTCCCCAAAAGGTATTGTGTGGGATGATGCAAGAACATTCAAAGGTAAAATGATTAGATTATGAGAGGTGTAACCTGATTAGTGCATTAACTTACTAAAATGGATTAACTGGGTGGTAATTATAGGAAGGCAAGGTGTGACTGGTGAAGATGGGTCACTATGGATGTGACTTTGGAATTCATATTTTGTCCTTGAGCAGAGCTCTCTCTGCTTAATTACTATCTTGTCCTGAGCTGCTTTCCTCTAACAAGCCCTTCAACCATGATTGTTCTGCTTCATCTCAGGCCCACAGCTGACTGTGGGCTAACCCTCTGAAATCTTGAGCCAAAATAAATTTTTCCTTCTAAGTATTTATTTAAACAGTGATTTAATAGTCAAATCACATTGTGCAGGTAGAACTATGCAGATATTAAAAATAAATTCATTGAATTTCCCTTTGAACATTTCAGCACAAACAAGATTCATTCCTGATTTTTTTCTAGTAAAAACATACCTACCTGTATTTGGACATATGTTTTCATGTGCAAAGATTTTTTCTTTTCCTTTCCTTTTGCAGTTTGTGGCAGTTCAAAAGGGTCTCCAGTGCATAGAGGCTGCATATAGGAAGAGAGTTCTGACTACCTATGACCAGGCTCTTTTGGCCTACACTTTCAGTTTAGTACAATATAAAGAAAAAAGAGAATTCTTCATCAATGAGCTGAGCAAGAAAGCAAAGAAAGCAGGTGAGTACCTTTGACATCTTTGGAATCACATGTTGAACAAGAAAAATGGCTAGAAGGGGTATAATTAATATCCTTTCATGTTTCTGTATTTCTAATTGTGGGGTTTGCACTCCCTCAGATATCACCGGTCCAGTTACACGCATATAAAATCCTGTGCTTTGACATAGGTGCTATTACTGACTTCCCTTCACTTTTTTCTCAGGTGGCTCAGTGTATTGGGAACTGGAAGAGCGAATTTCTATGGAAGGCTCATCCTCTTTCTACTATCCTCAGTCTTCCTCTGCAAACATAGAGACAACCTCTTATGGCCTACTAGCCCTTCTTTCCAAGCCGAGGCTGACTTCAGAAGAGCTGTCCAGTGCTTCACAGGTTGTACAGTGGGTAGCAAAGCAGCAAAATTCCTATGGAGGTTTCTCCTCCACAAAGGTAACAATATATTCTCTAAATCTCTAAGAAAACTGGGCACCTACTCGGCCCTGGCAGTGTTGGTCTTTTAATGTATAAATTATATTTTTCCTGCGGGTGGCAGGGGAGCGGGGGTTGTGGCTCAGCGGTAGTGCTCACCTAGTACATGCGGGGCCCTGGGTTAGATCCTCAGCACCACATAAAAATAAGTAGATAAAATAAAGATATTAAAAATATATATTTTTCCAATTCAATTTGATATCACTATTAAGCTTGCTATCCTTATTTCACCTGTAACTCATAGTAATCTTTAATTGGTGTACATTAATTGTACAGAATAGTGGATTTCAATGTGGTATGTTCACACGTGCCTATAATTTTTAAATTTGCTGTGTTTCAGGTTTGGGGGAATATTTTCTCTAGTAAGAACTGCAAGTATTTATTCAAAAGATAATTAGCTTTTAATTTTTTTCTGTATAGAAGAAAGCCTTTTAATGCAATAGCTTAACACACAGTTCAAAAACTCAGTCAGTTCAAATTAACTTCAACATATTACAAAGAACTAAGAAGCCTGGAGGGGCCACCACTTTGGGGAGGAGGGTGGGGAGGCAAATTGCTTCCCAGAATGGAAGGAAACTGACCTCAAGGAGGCCCCTCTCCCCATCCCAAGAGGTGTGTCCATAACCTTTGGGCTCTTGCAATAGCTTAGGTACCTCCATGCAGAAGGCAGCAGCACAGAGTCAAGGGCAGAGTCATCTAAGGATCACAGCTCTGCCTTCTCACCAGAGCAGGCCTGGAAAAAAGGCACTGGGGCTGACACAGGAAACTGTTCCCAAGACAGGGTGGGGACAGCAGCTGCAGCACTGGAGAACCAGCTCAACAGACTGATTTGGGTGTAGGTGGGCCAGGGATTTTAGCTTCTCCCCCACCTCTACCCAGGAGCTAAGTTCAGATTAACTGCAGAGAGGTGAGGTCTGATGCAGCTACAAAGGCAGCATTCAATCTGCAGTACACTTGAGGCAGGGACAAAGCCAAGTGCTTTGCTATTGAGGACCTGCTTGTCTGATATGCTAGCTAACTGAGGCAGCAGGGTGGGAACAGGGCTCTAGCTTCACACTCAGCTCTAGCAAGGCCCTTTGTGGTGAAACCATGTCTGTGCTTGACTATGCTGACTTAACTTGAACAAGCACAGCCTCTCAAAGGTGGGGGCCACTGCTGTCGAAGGGGCTGAGGAGGGTATTTCAGAGCTCCCTGTGGGGCATGCTAGGTTTCGGGGGTGGCTGCAGGGGAGGACACCCCTGGCTTCTCTGGGAAGGTCTGACAAAAGATTCCTGCTGCCCTTTAAAGTTTTATTTCAGTTTCTGGTTAACTTCCTGCCTTAGCTTCTGTGCAGGGCCATTCCTGGGCTCAATTTGTAGGAGGCTGCTAATGTCTGCAAGGCTGGATTTATAGTCCTTGAGTGACTTGTAGGCTTGAGCCCGTTAGGTACTGGGAATTGAACACAGGGAAGCATTACTACTGAGCTACATCCCTGTTTTAGTCAGCTTTTATGCTGCTGTGACTAAAAGACACGACCAGAAAAATGTTAGAGGAATAAAAGTTTATTTGGGGGCTCATGGTTTCAGAGACTGTCCATAGATAGTCCACTCTATTCCTTGGAGCTCAAGTAGGGGCAGAACATCATGGCTGAAGAGTGACAGAAAGAAGCAGCTCACATAATGATCAGAGAGCAGAGAGGGAACTCTCCACTTGCCAAATACAAATATAGACCTCATGTTCCCAGGGCCCCACCTCCTCCAGCCATACTCCACCTGCCTTCAGTTACTACTCAATTCATCCCATCAGGTGATTAATTCACTGTTTGGGTTACAGCCCTCATAACCCAATCATTTCTCCTCTAAACTTTCTTGCATTGTCTCACACATGAGTTTTTGGGGACACTTCACATCCAAACCACAACAATCTCCAGTTCTTTTCATTTTTTTATTATTTAGGTATCATTAAGATGCTGAGGACCTCCCTACATTGCTGAGGTGTGCCTGGAACTTGTGGTCCTCTTGCCTAAGCCTCCAGAGTCACTGAAATTACTGATGTACACTACTACACCTGGAACAAACAAACAAAAACCAAAAGCATTTATTCTTGATAAATTATACAATGTCCAAGACAATATAGTTCACAAAACAATGAAAAATTAACAAAAATTGCAGTAGCTTTTAAAATTATTTTGAATGAATCACAGCTACATTTGACTGTGATTTCTAAGTCCTAGAATATGCTCTAATACAATCCTGTCATTATCATTTTAGGATACTGTTGTGGCTCTCCAAGCTCTAACTCTATTCCAAAGGCTTACTTATTCTAAGAACAGACAAAATTTGGTGCAAATTTCCTCTGACAAAGCATTCAATATGGCCTTCGAAGTGAATGAAGAGAACCGATTGCTGCTACAACAATTTCCATTATCAGAAATTCAGAAAAACTACACTGTGGATGTGAGTGGTGATGGCTGTGTATACATGCAGGTAAATCTGGACTTTTTCCCTTATTTATCACAATTGTCAAATTCACATGAAACTAAAAAGTGTAGTATAACCAATACCCAGATCAACATTGTTCACATTTTTTCTATTTGCTTTACTTGTTTTTTCTTTTTTGACTGAATTTTAAAATAAATTAGAGGCATCACACCACTCCTGAGTATGTTATAATGCAGCTCCAAAATGTTCCATTGTTTGGCTGCAATGCCATTATCACAACTAGCACAAGAGCATAATAGTTTATAATATAATTTAATTACCACCAAATCTATTTTGTAGTTGTTTTCTTTTTCAAACCAGATTCAGTCATGGAAATGCTTTTCAATTGGTCATTAAGCTTCATAAATCTCTTTTAATTTAATAGATCTATCATGTCCTTTATATTTTTGTGTGTGTGACATTAACTATTGAATTAATAATTAAATAGACTCAGACTATTTGTGTTGTAGAATGTCCTTCATTCTGGATTTATCAGATTGTTCTCTTTTGAGTATTATTTAATTTGTGCCTCATTACCTGTGTTTTCTATTAACTGAAAGTTAATCTTGTATTCATTTTGCTCACATACAGAAATATATCACTCTTGATGTTATTATGTTTTATCATTAGCTGAACACCTTCAAATAATGGCTAAATTTCTTCTTCTGTTTTATTTTCTGATTTGCATCTACCAATTAATATTTAAAATATTACATTGGGACCATGCAAAAGTCAATTTTTGTATCAATTTTCATCAACATGTCTTAACATACATTGAAGATCTTTGCCTATATAAGATACTTCAATAAGGGCTATGAAGTGGTGAATATTAATTCTAATATACCTTCTGTTTTTATTAGCTGGCATTTTTACACAGTATAGATATGACAGAGTGTATTAAATAAATTAAGTATGAATGGACATTTGGATTATTTTTCTTCTTTCTCTATTACATAGAGTATTGTAATAAATAATATATGCAAATTACTTCAACTTGGGCAAATGCAACTTCAGAATACATTTCTATTAGTGTGATTATTAGGTCAAATTAAATCTTTAACCAAATGTATTTTCAACTCATGTTATTGTTGAGTTTGATTCTATAATTTTTTATTCATTTAATACAGGTATTCTCCTTAATATTGGAACTCTTGCATTATAATATTAGCTATTTCTTACAACAAAAATCAGATCATTTTAATTATCTCCCCAAAGATAGTATGGATATAATTTAGCTATGCTATTGCTTATCTGTGTAAGTTTTGAAAAGTTAGTAATCTCTCTGAACCTCATTTCCCTTTTTTACAATGAAAAAGACTAAAGTAGCACTGGATTCACTGGGCCATTGGAAATAATAAGTTATTACAGAAAAAGCACTTAAAAGGGAATACATAGTATATGCTCAATAAATGTTAACTTATCATAACTACTATTACCAGTGGTATATAAAATAGGAAGTACATAGGTTCAAATTGATTTTTAAATTAATTTTAAACTTCAATAAGGAGGTAATAAGTGAAAAATTATTTTTATTGATATGTGATATATTCTATGTTTATTTAAGACAACTCTGAAATATAATATCCTGCTGCCCAAGAAGTCATCTGGATTTTCCCTTTCTGTAAATACAGCCAATGCTTTCTGCAGAGGATTATTTGATGCAAAGTTTGATCTTGTGGTTTCAGCCAGGTAATAACATTTTTTGTTTTGTTGGTAAATTAAGATGTGTCTCCACCTCTAATAAAGATAGCCTAGGTTTTCTTCCTAACTTCATGTGAAACCATACCTCAATCTTTTTATGAAAGAAGTTGGCCTATTTCTTTTATCTAGGGAAATATATTTTATCTTGTTTAAATTACCAAAATTGTGTGCAATAAACTAGATAAAAAATAAACATGGCTTCAAAAACGTTAAATAGAAGACAAAGAAGAGAATTGTACAAAAAAGTTTTATAAATTTCTCTATAATAATTGTATTCCCTCCCAGCCACTTGGGAGGCTGAGAAAGGGAGATCATAAGTTCAAAGCCAGCCTCAGCAAAAGCAAGGCAATAAGCAACTCAGTGACAAGTTAGTTATCTCTCTGAATCTTATTTCCCTCCTTTATAAAATGAAGACTAAAGTAGCATTGAATTCACTAGACCATTGGAAATAATAAGTTATTACATAAAAAAGCACTTAAAAGGGAGTATATAGTATATGCTCAATAAATGTTAATTTATCATTAAGCAACTAAGCAACCCTGTCTCTAAATAATATACAAAATAGGACTGGGGATGTGGCTCAGTGACCAAGTGCCCTTGAGTTCAATCCCCAGTACCAGAAAAAAAGCAAGAATTGTATTTGTCTCAAATTTCTATTTCATAAATCAACATATTATAGCATATTGTAGTTCTTACTTTGGGAACTCCAAATTCCAAAACAAGAATATTACTTGGGCTCTGTTTTCTATGTCCACTTGGAAATGGATTGAAATGTATGTTGTTTCATTTTGGAATACCACTAATTTCAGTTTATTCTGAGGGTTTAGTCTCAGAACAATAAATGTAAATATATTTTATTGGTAAACTGTTTTCTTAAATAATAATCAACACTTATCTGAGTTTTAAATTTTGTATTTCTTAAAGTTATTCTGGAAGGCACATCTCTTCCAACATGGCAATCATTGATGTGAAGATGCTCTCAGGATTTGTACCTGATAAATCTTCAGTTGAGAAGGTAAAGAATTAAATACTTATATTTAAAAGAGCTTCAGAATAGCTATAATGTATTATGCTCTGTGTTATACATTTGTCATAAATTGATGAAAATACAACACATATTCTATTCTTAAGGAATAAAGATTAAATCACATATATATCCAATAGAACATTATTCAAAGTTCTCAAATTTATTTGAATTGAGCTAGTATCACACTAAATGGTGGATAAAAATTGAAAGCTTTCTCTTGAATATGTAAAACAAGACAAGAATGCCCATTCTCACCACTTTTATTCAATACATTACTAGAAGTCCTACACGGAGCAAAAAAAGTCAAGAAAGTAAATAGAAGGCACCAATTAGGAAGCAAGAAGTGAAATTCTCTCTCAATGCTGGTGACATGATCATACAAAAGACTCAGAAAAAAAACAACTGTTAGAACTGATAAACAAATTCAATAAAGTTATAGATTAAAGATCAATGTACAAAATCAGTAGAATGTTAAAATACTAACAACAAATTATCTGAAAAGGAATTTAATTTATAATAGCATCAAAAATAAATGAAAATCAGGGTTGGGGTTGTGGCTCAGTAGTGGAACACTTGCCTGACTTGTGTGAAGCACAGGGTTTGTTCTCAGCACCACATATATAAGATCCATTGACAACTAAAAATATTTAAAAATAAATAAATAAATAAATGAAAAAAAAATATATATATATATATACACACACACACATACATACTTCAGAGTAAATGTGACCAAACAGGTAAAGAATTCTGTACATTGAAATTATATAATATTGATTTAAAAATTGAAGGAAACACAAAAAAAGTGGAATTATCTTTCATGTTCATGGATTGAAAGAATTAATATTGTTAAAATACCCTTACTAATCAAAGCAGTGTACAGTTCAGTACAATCCCTCTCAAAATTCTAATGGCATGCTCACTAAAAATAGAAAAAAAAAAACAATTCTCAAAGTTTTGGGAACCAGGAAAAACTCTAAAGAGCCAAAACAGTCTTCACAAAAAGAACAAGGGCAGAGATATCAACTCCTCTTTAATTTCAAAACTTATGAGAAAACAATTATAATCAAAAGAGCATTGTATTATAACAACAGACATACTGACCAATCGAACAAGACAGAAACTTAGAAATATACCCAACTAGAATCAATTGATTTTGGGCAAAGATGTGAAGAATACACATGGGAAAGGACAGTCTCTTTAATAAATGGTGCTGCTGAGAAAATTGAATATCTACACACAGAAGAATGTAATTGAACCTTTGTCTCACACCATATATAAAAATCAACTCAAGATGTATGTCAGATTCAACAGTTGAGGTACTAGACCAAAACAAGATAAAAACTCCATAACGTGGGTCTGGGTAATGATTTCTTGAATAGAACTGAAAAATTCAGGCAACAAAAGCAAAACCAGGCAAATAAGATTGCATCAAACTTAAAAGTATCTGCACAGCAAAGAAAATAATTAGAGAAATGAGGAATTATACCCCATCTATGTATGATATATCAAAGTACATAAATGCATTCTACTATCATGTGTTACTAATTAAACAAAAACATTTCTTTAAAATAGTGAAGAGACAACCTATAGGATGGGAGAAAATATTTGCAAACACAATCTGATAAGGGGCTGATATTGAAATTACATAAGAAACTCAAACAACTCAGTAGCAAGAAAACAAATAATCCAATAAAAACAGGCAAATAATTTGAAAAGACATTTCTCAAAATAAGAGAATAAATGACCAAAAAATAGATAAAAAATTCTCAAGACATCTAATCATCAGAGAAATGCTAATTAAAACCACAGTGAGCTAACACCTTTCAGATGTTAGAATTGCCATTATCGAAACCATGAATGATAACCAATTTTGGCATTGATGGTGCAGAAGTAGTGCCCTTGTACATTATTGGTGGGAATATATTACTGTTTAGCCATTTTGGAAGATAACATGGGATTTCTTCAACAAACAAAATAGAATTACTGTACAGTCCAGCATCCCCACTTCTGGGCAAATATGCAAAGGAATTGAAATTGGCATATCAAAGAAACATCTGTACTCCCATGTTCATTTCAGCATTATTCATATTGGCCAGAATAAGGAAGCAGCTTATGTGTACAACAGCAGATAAATTGATAAAGGAAATGTGGTTTGTGTGTACAATAGCATATATGTAGAGTGGAATGCTAAAGTCTCTAAAATAGAAATTCTATCATTTGTAACAATGTGGATGAAACTGGAGGATATTATGCTAAATGAAATAAGCCAGGCAGAGAAAAAATACCACATGATCTCATTTATATGTGAAATAAAAATTTTAAAATGTGATGACATGAAAACAGAGTAGAATAATTTGGACCAGAGTTTTGGGGCAAGAGGRAGAGCTAGTAAAAGAAAAGATGTTGATCAAAAAGTACAGCATTTCAGTTATACCAGAGGAATAAGTTTTAGTGACATATGGCACTACACATAGACCATGGTTAATAATACTGTATGTTTTAAACCTGATGGAGGGATAGAGAAGTTGGTGCAATAATGAATATATTAGCTATTTCATTTGAATCTTTCTTCAGTATATAGATAGATGAAAATACCACAATGCACTCTGTAAATATGCACAACTATTATTTTCCAATTAAAAATAAATTTATGTTGAAGTTGAAAAGGTAAGTTAGTGTTTCGTTATTCTATTCTATTCTATTATTCTACTTAATATATTTTTTTTAGAAACCAATATTATACAGACAGATCTCTCAAAAATGTTGAACAAATGATACCCAAAGATTAGTGTCTATTGTTGAGGCTACATGGAAACTTCACAAGTATTTATAAAGATGCAAGAAAATTACCAAATTAAAATTAAATATTTTTATCTTTGGATTATTAGTTGTTCATACTTCTAGTCCCCTAAATGTTCAGCATACTTTTTTGCCTTATTTTTAGCTTCAAGAAGATGGCAAAGTACAACGCATAGAAATCAAAACCACACATGTGTTTTTCTATTTGGAGAATGTAAGTTTAATATCATAATTTGATTTGGCTATTAGTGTATATGCTACTGACACAATTGATTTTTATTTTTTATGTTTTTTTTTATATTTTCCTATGGGTATAAGTACCAAAAGATCATTGTTTTATCTTTGTTTTTGTTTGTTTTGTTGTTGTTGTTACTTTCATAGTTTCATTTTGTTTTGGTTTTGGAGGTACTGGGGATTGAAACCAGGGCCTTGAGCATGCTAGAAGCTATCAGTGACCTACATCTCCACCTCTCCAAAAGAGCATTTTTAAAATAAGTCTAAATATTTGAAATTAGGAAAAAAGGTTAAAATATGCTTTATATGCTAAAAATATTGATTTATTCCCAGGTTACTCAAAAGGAAATTCAATTCTCATTTTCCATTGAACAAGATGCACTTGTATCCAACATCAAGCCTGCATCTGTCCAGCTTTATGATTACTATGCAACTGGTAAGAATTTTACTTCATTTGAGTGCCATCATATTCTACATTTAATTATTCATAAGCCAATTATTGCTTTCTCCACTGATGTTATAGTTTCTCTTTTTGAAAACTTCGCTTGTTATTTGGTGTTTTTAAACTTTGCATATCATCTAATACAAAGTACTTCAGAGTTTTAATAGCTAACTTTTGTACAAAAGTTCATTTACAGAACATGGATAACATGTACCAAAGATCATGTGCAAAAGATTATACCTGAAAACACTTAAGAATGATCATATACATTTATACAAAGTCATAGGAATAAATGTACATCTGACAGTTTTCAATCAAAGAAGTTGTTATAGTAGCATAGTGTATGAGAACTTATTTATAAACAGATAATAAAGATGTTTTCTTCTTAAACAATGTTGTAAGACTGTTTTGAGTAACAATTTCTCTCTTCCAGATGAATTTGCAGTTGCAGAATACAATACACCATGCAAACAGATATCTTTTGAAACCTTTTAGTTCTCAAGAGAAGTGAACTGTGATGGAAAGGAAGACACTTTGGAATTGGGATTTATGTTAAGAGAACATTGCCACTGTTTCAACCAAAGAAAAGTTTCAGAATCTTCACAATGCAGCACATGTTCAAGTTCTCCCACCAACAGCATCCTCCCTCAGTCACTCCATCACCAATTTCATTCTTTCTGCCTGAGGACTTTCTCTGGAGTCCTGGTAGCCAGCTTAGCCTGTGTACAATTTTAAATGGGAAGCACAGGCTTAATGTTTACAAGAGCAAACTTCAACTTGCAGAGACTAAAACCACTAGGCTCCTGCCTCCTGCTTTTACTCAGAGAACTCTGGGATCATTCCACATGCTTCTGATGAAATCACCTTGAAATCAGTGTAAGATCAGGCGAGGTGGGCAGTGACCAAAGGAGGCAGGTTTAAAAAGGCCTCTGAACAAGGCTTTATTTGAGATATCACTCCTGGGCGGAACTCGATCAGACTGACAGGGTGGACTGGAGAAGGGTCTGAGAACCCCATGGAAGCTGGGATTTTATGGGGCTGAGGCAGGAAGGGAGGGGCTTGAGACAGGAAAAGGTGTTTTTAGAGTCCCTTGGCCCTCTGGAGTTGGCTGGGGGAGCTGGCTGAACTCTAGGATTGGCCAGGGGGTTCTGATGATTGACAGGCAATAGTCAGGAGATCCTGCTGATTGATAGGCTTTCTGTCGGTGCCTGATAGATGTTTCTTTCCCACGTGGGCTGCTTTGTTCTAAATCACCGCCACTGACCTGATAATCAGCATTTCATTTTCTCATAAATCGGCCTCCATAGATAGTTTCTTAAATTAGCCCTTTTGCTTTCTTGCACAATCTCCCTGATCTCTCACTGTTGTTTCCTGAGATCACCTCTGAAAATAATTATCTGCACTCCAGTCCTTGCTTCAGATTCTGCTTTCAGAACAAAGATAATGTATCACAGCAATCCCTGAATAACTACATAAAATGTTTTGTTAGGTATGAAATATCTGTCTGTGTTGTTAATTTAGTTCTAGTGTTTGTTTATACTGTAGAAAAGTAGAACTTTTACAACATTTCAATATAAATATTGCTATTTTGACAAATATTATTGAGTAATACCTGATAAGCATCTGTGTATTTTATCTTCCATTTCAAAATTAAATTTCTTTTCTCAGTATAAACCTAGTGTGAAGTAAATACATTCTCCTTTTCTTCTTACCACAATCACTTGGGGTATTTCTGAAAATATATTTGTAAGATTCTCTTGGATATAAAAAATATGTATTTTAATATAAGATCAAATTTCCCCAAATTCTACAAATCTGGAGAATACACAAGCATGAAGATCTTACAGTGATACAGGAAAGATAACAAAATCATATTTAATCATTTTTTATTTTTTAAATAAATATGTTTGAGTACTAAATATGATATTTTAATTAAGATGATATTATATCAGATAAAGTGGAAAAGATTTCTCAAAATGTGCCATGAAGTACTTGAAGAAGTTGAATACATGTGAGCACCTGGCCCAAGTTATCACTAACTCCCAGAGATAATATTGATTTAATATTGATTTCATTCTGTGATTGCAGAAACTGCATCATGAAAACTCTCACTGAGATGATTAGCTTTATAAAGGAAAGCAAATTAAAACAGCACAAACAAGTCAATGCCAATCAAGTGATTAAATCAAATTTGTTCAGCTCACATATACTCTTTCAAATCTGATGAAAGCTTCAGAGTCTATAACTATAAAGATTCTCTGTCATGTGAATATATAGAATTTCTAGGTATTATTTTAATCTGTGAAGTTTACTTATGGAAAAATTATATTTAGAATCCTAGGAAAACCAGAATTTTCCCTGAAGAATCTACTTTCTAATACTCAGCTTTCACCTAAAATTCAGAAAGTACTTTTGTGATGCCAAAGCATATTAGGCATAACTGTATGGAAGGGACAAAGAAAGGAAAAAATATGCTGTTTAAAACTCATTTTTTTTCACTTGTAGAATTTGGATTTGAGAAGGGACATACAGGAATGGTGATTTTTAAATTTAATTTAATTTAATTTTTGGTATATCAGGTATTGAACCCAGGAGAACTTAAACACTGAGCCACATCCACAGACTTTTTTATTTTTTATTTTGAGACAGGTTCTCACAAAGTTGCCTAAAGCCTTGTTAAATTGCTCAGGCTGGCCCTGAACTCATGATTCTCCTGCCTCAGTCACTTGAGTTGCTGAGATTACAGGCATACGCCATCACATCCTACTGATAAATTCCTAATAATTTATTTTTATTCTGTCAAATGGCAGTTTTTCTTTCTCAGCTTAATAGATAGGTTTCTGGTTTTGTTCTTGCACAATATTCGCCAGAGATCCCACAAAGAAATCAAATTTAGCTGGTATATCCTACCTGTGGTACTCCTGAATGTCCTGAATTGAGAGAACATTATGATACTTCACTCATGGTAATTGCTTGAATACAAAGTTTTTCTACCTTTAGATGAAATAAAAAAGCATTTAAACAGAGTGATATTATGTATTATTTTAGTGTTGTTTCAGTTAGAAGGCAAAATAAAGATGTGTGAACTTCTGGGACTGGATTTTGTCTCTTGGTGTCTCTAAATTTTTCCCCAATGAGATTAAAAAACAAAACAAATTTTCATTTGTCCTTGAGAAGGAAGTCAGTCTTAAACTAGGGGAAGATACCAAACTCTTATTAAATCTATCCTCACTTAATAATATCTGATCTTTTAGAGACTTGTAAACTTCATTAACTTTTACCTTAGGGACATCTATGCAGGGAATAATCTACCTAGTGAACAGGTTACATATTAATAATAACAATAATAATAATAGCAGCTGAAAATAGCACCTGTGACTTAATTTATTCTTCATATATTTGGGAATAAATGATTCCACTCTTCATGTCCAGAACAAGGTTGCTTCTAGAAAGTAATTTATGAAATGAAACTATCACTGTGTCCTGAAATAAATCAGCAGAAAAAATGTTTGCTTTACATCTCTTCTGTATAGGGAAATACCCTCTGATTTTCTTTTACAATCAATCTCTTTCAGTACCTAAAGATACTATTTATTTAATCAAATCATATTTATATTGTAGTAGAATCAGTAACAGGTAAAAATCAATTTTTGCAAGGGCTCCTCACCCCAAGGGCAGTCAATTTTCTTATAATATGAAAACTGCAAAACTGTTTTTCCTCCAATTCCTAAGCTAACATTCAAAAAATTGTAGAATGGTGTTTGATGAAGAATAAAGTTCAATAAATTTTTAGAGGTGAAGTTTATTTAGGGCTCACAGTTTCAGAGGTCTCAGTCTAGTGGTGGTCTCTGTGGTATTGGAAAACAGCTCAGGATATGACCACCAGGAAGCAGAGGGAGCAATTTCACCAGGGAAAAAAATTATACCCCAAAGACATGACTCCAGTGAACAACCTCCTCTAGCCACACCCTTTCTGCCTGCAGTTACAGCCCAATCAATCCATATTGGTAGGCTAAGCCACTGATTAAGTCACACCTCTCATAACCTATCATTTCATTATTTCACCTCTGAATGTTTTTGCATTATCTCACACACTAGCTTTTGGGGATACCACAAATCCAAACTATAACATTCTGTCCTGGCCTCTAAAAGCTTATGCCCATTCCACAATGCAAAGTACATTTATTCCATTCCCAGGAATCCCACAGTCTCTCCATATTTTGCATTGTCTAAAAGTCCAAGTCCAAAGTCTTCTCTGAGTCTCAAGGTAAAATCTCAGCATAATTTTGTAAAAATAAAAAGCAAGTTATATATATCCAATATATAAAGAAACAGAGTAAGTAATGGCTTCCCACAGGGAGAGAGAGAGGCACTGAAAAAAGAGATGGGACCAAAGCAAGACTAAAATCCAACTGGGCAAACCAAGCTCTGAAAGAAAATAGATGCTAACCAAGAATCTTATAGTCAGAAAAATTAAGCTTTAGATTTGAAGATGAAATAAAAACTTTCCATGATAAACAAAAGTTAAAAGAATTTACAACTATAAAGCCTGCACTACAGAATACCCTCAGCAAAATATTCCATGAAAAGGAAATTAAAATCATCAAAGGGAGGTGTTAAGGGAAAACCAATCAAAGGAGAAACCACATCAAGTTAAATACCAAAAATAAACAAAAATGACCAGGAATACAAATCATGTCTAAATAATAACCCTGAATGTTAATGGCCTAAACTCACCAATCAAAAGACAAAGACTAGCAGACTTGACTAAAAAAAGAAGACCCAACAATATGATATCTTCAAGAGACTCTTCTCACAGGAAAAGGCATACACAGACTGAAGGTGAAAGGTAGGGAAAAAAAAAAAAACATATCACTCACATGGACTGCAGAAATAAGTAGGGATTTCCATGCTTATATCAAATAAACTAGACTTCAAGCCAAAGTTAATCAAAAGGGATAAAGAAGGAGATTTCCTACTTAAGTAAACCATACATCAACAAGACTTAACAGTTATAAATATATATATGCCCCAAACAATGGAGCATCTAAGTTCATCAAACCTTCTCAAGTTCAAGAGTCAAATAGACCACAACACAATAATTCTGGGTGACTGTAACACATCTCTCTCACCACTAGATAGATCTTTCAAACAAAAGTCAAATAAAGAAACTATAGAACTCAATAATACAATCAACAGACTTAACTGACATATATAGAATATTTCATCCATAAATGAGTGAATGCATTTTCTTTGCAGCAGCATATGGATCCTTCTCTAAAACAGTTCATATATTATGCCACAAAGTAACTCTTAGCAAATACAAGAAAAGTAAAGATACTACCTTGCATTTGGCAAAATACAGCACCCCTTCATATTCAAAACACTACAAAAACTAGTGATAACAGGAACATATCTCAACATGTCTCCAACATCTGGAGACTAAATAATATGCTATTGAACAGAATATGGATTCCAAAAGACATCAGGGAGGA